ATAGAGCTTAACCCTCACCATTTTTGGGGACTGAAAATACATATACACCACCCTAACTATAACCATAAGTGATGGTCTCCTAGGACTCGCGCTACCATGGGTTTTAAGCAAATCTGTCTTCTCTTTCTTAATCTCCTCTATGGAGAATCCATTGTGCTAACTTAGAGCTCCACTCAGTCTCTGATCTCAGCATCCCCGACAGACGTGGAATGATCTCCTCATCCTATTCACGAACTATCATCAACAAACCCTAACCAATACAAATATTGGGCTAAAATATTTATATTCTTAAATAACCTTCCTTTTCCCAAAGATTTATATTCTTAAGTCACTTCTTTGTTTTTTTCTCTCTTTCTCTCCTCCTCATTCACGTTTTTTGCCCGAAGATTTATTTAGGGTTTGATTGGTTTGTAACTATAGAAACAGTTTTCAGTTCTCGAAAAACTGAAAACTGTACAAAAAATTCTGTTTGGTTCAATTTTGTAAAAACACTGTTATAAAAATACTTGTTTTCAGATAACAGTCTTTTATAGAAAGTGAATGAAATAAAAAGTTAATGAAAAGAAAATAGATTTTCTATCATGCATTTGGTTAACATGAAAATTTATCCAAAAAATTATAAAAAAATATTAGTTTGTTAGTTTGGATAGTATGAAAGTGAAAAAAAAAAAGTGATTAATGCATACTAAAACTACCCTTACGAAGTAAAATAATGGATTATTAAATTCAAATATATAATTTTTTTATATTCATTTCTATTATTTATATTTAGAATAAGGCTTCATAACATTTTTTTAAGTAGAACTAATTAAAAATAAATAAAAAATTAAAGATGAAGAAAAAATACTACTATTTCATATATATATATATATATATATATATATATATATATGTCCATATGGGATTATGAGTGGCTAGAATTGCATCATAGAACAAACAATTAAAAAAATTAAAAAATTCTATTTAGAAGCATGATCTATTTTGAGCAACTTTACCCAAGTTATCATTGATTTTATATGTAACTGTATAATTTGCGTTGCGAATTTACCTCATAATAGGAATTGTTTTTGACGAAACTTACCTCAACATAGAATACAAGTTATTTTGAAGAGAATTTTCCATGATTAAGTTACTGCGTAAAGTAAGAATTGCAAATATATATATATGTTAAATAAGTATCGGAAGTGAATTCATTTCAGCAACTATACTTAATAAAAGTTGTACAAACACAATATACACCCAAATCCATCCAACCAACCAAATCCACCACAAATTTCACAAATCGAATCCATCGATCCAACTAAGAAAACCCACATAATGTTAGAGAGAGAGAGAGATGGATTACCGAAAGAGTGTCTTTAAACCAGTCGATCATGAGCCTTTTTCCGGTCGATCGCTAGCCCAACACCACTGAGAAATCCAGAGAAGATGAGATCTAATCGACGAAGAAATCTGGATAGAAAGCTGAGTTATGTTCTGTTAGAGAGAAAGTGAGGAACGACCGGGAGAAGCTTCTTGATGAGGTTGAATTACTTTGATGATCCAAACTGAGATCACTTCTGCGCGTAGAAAGAGAAGATAGAGGAGGAGGAGTGTACGACTCAGATGGAAAAATCGTCAAGTTTAGGATGATGATGTTTTAAACGACGCCCTCCAAAGTGATTTTTTTAAGTATGAGCTGTTCTCCGTGTTTCCTAAAAAGTGAGAATCGTAACTCAAGAATTGTGAGAACACCTTTTTATTGTTCTCTAAAATCTGTAACTATCAGTTTTCAGTTTTTCAAAACCTGTTTCCACAAAATGGATCCAAGCATAAGTAAAATACAGTTTCTTGTTTTTTTGTCACTATGAAAACAGAAAACTGTTTTCTCAAATCCAATCCAAGCAGGGCCTAAATTTTCCATTAAGTTTCCTTTTTTTCTCTCTGTCTTCATCTCTTACCTCCTCATTCACGTTTTTATTTAGGAATCCATTCAAATATTGCGCCAAAAGATTTACATTCTTAAATAACTTTTTTTATTTTTTATTTTTCATTACTCTCAATTTGAACCTACTTTTATTCTACTAAAAAAATTATAAGAGCATTGAATTAGGGTTTTAAAATCAGGTTTTATTGTTTTTTTCTTTAACTATTTTTAATTTAATTAATTTTTTTTATTATAAATATATATATATATATATATATTAATCTAAATAGTAGTTTTGTATCTCAAAAGGAATGAAGTATGATTTTTAAATAAATATAATATATAATATTAATATATTACATATTATGATATTTAAAATCAAATTTTTTTCACAAAATCAAATCATATTTTTGTCTTATTGGCAATTGTTGAAAATGATTTGATTTTGATCTGATTTGAATATATATATTTAATATATTACATAATATGATATTTCAAAATCAAATCATTTTTATGGATGCAACCTTTCATATTGGCATTTGTTGAATATGCTTTGATTTTGTGGATGAACAATGAAAGGTTGCATCCACAAAATCAAATACGTACTAATATTTTTTCACCCCCTTGACTTAGGAAAGAAAAAAAAAAGAAGAAAAAAAAAAAGAAGAAGAATTCGTAAGCTGAAGCAACTTGCATCAACTTTTTCAATACAACTTATCTTCCGAAAAAAAAAAAATCACTTGCATCAACTGTCTGTTCTGGATTTAAAAGCGCGCATCTTATGGTACACCGATAGAGATCCAAGAAAGAAGCCTCACTCTTATTATTATTATTATTATTTTAACCCACCCTCACTTTTATTCAACAACTGCTTAAAACCTAGCGAGTCTGTCATGTATCATACACTGCATATATATGAAACTTTATACGGTTTATTATGTGACAAAATGATGATGTATGCACCTTAACTCTAGGTTAAGGTAGCCCCCCAATCTTACCATTGTGCCAATCAATGTTCACCATCCTCGCAACTAAATTAGAATTGATAACATGATTGCAAGGTTCACACAGGAAAGAAAGACCATTTAATATTAAAAAAATTGATAAATTACACTTTACTTTTTTGTTGTGTTTTAATATTTGGACCTCCCTGAAATTTGAGATGAAATTTGACTCATCAACAATCCTCTAACTTTTCTTTCTAGCAAATTTATTGACCAAATTACCTTTTGAAAAAAAAAAAAAAAAAATTTATTGACCAAATTTTATAAAATAACAATTTTATCACTTCCTTCCATAAAATGCAATATAATATATTATTATAACATAAGGGCATTATTGACCTTTCACATTCAAAATCAATTTTCGACCTTGTCTCATAATGAGAATGGTCTGGTCCGGTATGGAATGAACTTATAATCTATAATCTGATGATCGAGTCGATTCCATGATTATAAGTTCATAAGAGGGATCTTGAACTAAGAAATAGACCTTAGAAGCTAAAAAAGGGTAATAAACCTAATTTGTCCAAACTTAAGATAAGATTAATATAATTTACCTTTTAAAAAAATAATAATAATGAACTAGGTAGAAAGGATAAATCCAGCTAAGAAATGATACTGGACAAATTAACTCTAAGAAAGGTAGTCCCACAAAACACAAATTAAATCTCATGAATGGGTTTTTGTTGAGTCCTACTGTATTTTTTTTTTTTTTGTTGGAGAGTGTTCATAGCATTACATCTACTTCATAAAGTGGACAAAAAGTGGTTGATAAAATTACTTCCCCTTTAAATTCAGAACATGCTTACGCTACAAAGTTTTTAAGTCACAAACTTATACCCAGAAACGTGATTATTTCCAAGCACAATATGCTACTAGTAGTTACTAAAAATGGCCTTTTGATTCATCAAAACTTTTGACTTTGGGTTCAGGGATTCCATTTCTTTCTATGACTTTATTGTTGAAATATTGGGTTAATGGTTAACAATTCTTGTAAATATTATTCTTGCAAATATTATTCTTGCGATTCTGTCCTATTTTAGAGATAATATAACTGTACATTAGGTGTGGACAGATTCTTTAGAGATATAGCCTGATTATAGGACTTATACGAATGATCTGATTACTATATATATATTATTGAATCATGAATAAGAAAATATTCTTCCTAAAGTCTAATTTTCAAGTCTTATGCCTTCAATTTTGCCCTGATTTGTTTAGGCATGTTTGACAACGGGTTTTACTCGGTGTTTTTTGCTGATGGTATATTATAGGGAAGCAAAATACAAAATGTGTTTGATAATATTTATTATAATTTGAATAATGTTAGTGTGTTATTTTTTAAAAAGAGGTTAAAACTAAAAACACTAAATTAATTGTAGCAACACGACATTGTAGTGAATAACAGTAAATAATAAATAAAAAAACATTTTTAAACTAGTCAATTTTATTTTTTAACTTGTAACACTTTTAATCATATGTTTTTGCTTTTATAAATCTTGTAACAAATATTACGTTACCAAACATACTTCCAATCATTATTAGATGCATTTTACAACAAAAACATTATTTAAATTTTTAATGAAAATAGAAACACAAAACATTTCTCAACAAAAAAAAATTCTATGAATGTCGGTGTTAGCGATATGGTTGCCCTAGAGACTAAAAATTTCTTGAACCCATACTCATTACAAATTTGACCCACCATTAAGTTTGAGTCAGTACTTTAGGCCAAATTATACCACAATGTCGAAGTTTATTTTTATAGATGAATTCAAATCATTTATACCACAATGTTGAGAGAAGTTATTTTTTCTAAAGCAGTAAATACAAAATTTAAATATTAATAGATGATGATATTATCCCAACAAATTGCAAGATTCTATCATGATCATTTGAACAACCAATTCAACAAAATAATAATAAGATAAAATCAAATTTATTGTTGATAACTCTTATCCTAAAATTTTCTTAGAGAGTAAGTAAGATTAAAGTGAAATATATATTTTTTTTGGGTTAAATTAAAGTGAAATATTGGGAACCAGATGCCAACGGTTTTACAAAACCCGGTTCAAAGCAAATTGTTTCTCAACAAAAAAAAAAAAAAAAAAAATAAAACTCCACAGGAGGAGAAAACAACTTTAGAAACTACGACATTCTTTTTCTCTCCTTCTCCTCGATCCCTACTGCTTCAAGACAGCAAGCAAAGCCTCTGAAACGAGGCCCCAGAAGGAAGGAGAGAGAATAGAGAGAGAGAGTAAGCAGTGAGAGAAAGAAAGATGGAGATCCATGGCTTCTTGACACATTCTGGATCTGTATATTTTTCTTCATTGCTATAAATCCACCGTTATCGACGAGTTCTTTTGCCACTCAAAATTCGCATTACGGGTAAGTTCGAAACCCTAAGATTTACTAACCCCTAAAGTTGTTTGACAAACCCCACATTGAAGATATTTTTCGCTGGTATTTCGCTTTCGTTTTGTTGTCACAAATTGAAGCAGTGACGTTCGAGAACCTCAACTGGTTGGGATGTCATTTTTTTGTTACCCACTTTACCTAACAAATTTTTTTCGATTGTATTGCAAGGTGAAACTCAATGCTGTAATTTGACGCCAGAGTTCTTACATTGTGCTATAAATTTACTTTACTTTTTAAACATTTATTGTGTCTCGAATTGCGTTTGATTTTGCTTGTTATATGCTTGATTACATTGAGAAAGTCATATATTGATGGATTTTAGTGATTTTAATGTTGTTTCTAAGCTTTTGTTGAAGCCAACTTTTTGAATCACACAAAAACCCATTTTCTGAATTTACCAATTCAGCTATCTGAAGTAGAAGTCAGAGTAGGATATATAGAGATATTTGAATTGAGGGTCTTTATTATTATTATTATTATTATTATTTTGGTAAGCGTTCCTCTGATTTGTTTGTTTGATTTACATACTTGAGAGGATGAAGGCCGAAAGGGTTTGTATATAAAGATGGCTGATATTGCTGCTCTTGCGGAGGCCTCAGGGTCCAGATTTAGTGACTTAGAACTGATTGGAAAAGGGTCATTTGGAGATGTCTACAAAGCGTAAGTGTCAGATGTTTGATTCTGTTCTGTTTATGATTCCACTACTACTAGTCGAATCTCACATTTTGCTTCAACAGGATGCTATTAAGTGAACTTTACAGTCCTGGGTTTTTCTATGCGTATTAAAGACATTTAAAACTTCAAAAAGTTTAAAACTTCACAGTTATTTAAGTGTAGGATGAAATGATCTGGATTGTTCTAATTCATTTTCTGTATCTATAAAGTTTTTTGGTGTAATATAAATTCAATAAAAAAAGTTTATTTTGAAGGTCATCAAAACTAAGACATTAAAGCTTTAGGTTTCTATTACTCATCTCTCTGTAGTTTTAACGATAAATGAAATTATTTCTTATTGAAACAAAGATACATGAGATTACTAGATCAATGGGAGCACTTAATGTGGGGTTCACACTCAATTTTTGTCATTCCATCATTTTAGAGGATGAGATTTGACTTCTTGTTTCAGCATTTGATTATTTTTTGTTCGGTTTGCCAAATCTTGCATATGATAAATGAATGATGCACACTGCATCACTTGATTTAATTGCACAATGAGCTTCCAGTGATCCTATATTTAAGACACTCTAGATGATCATGGTATGTATCTGGATTGATGGTACATGCATCAGTTTTGCTGATAATTTGCAGTCCCATTAGCCACTCTATATCTTTTATTATTATGTTGAGTGTTTATCAACATTTAACTGGCATAGCAAATGGTATAACTTGTAGTTTATCAAAAATTAAGTAACATAGGAGATGGTAAAACTACTCTGAAGTGCATGCATGCCAACTCATGCCAATTCACTAATTTTTAAGTATGAGAGTATTATGGTGAAATGCTGATATTGGATCATCTCTGTAATGTTTTAAAATGTTGTAAATCATAATTTTTTTTCTTCTTTACAATAGGGGTCTTAGTATATATTTTTAACATAAAAGAATATTTAAGATAAGATTATCTACTAATCAAAAGTACTTCATAAATCATTATATGCATAAAATGAAAAAAAAAGAAGGGTAATGCGCTTATATTTAGATTTTGTCCTGTTAAAATATTGAGTCGTGTGGTTGAACAAAATGTTTTGAGCTTGTCTACAACTATAGGAGTGATGAAGATGAAGAACAACAAAGAACATGTCAAACTTTTCATCAAGCTCAATCACATGTTTAGGATAAGGTAAAGATAAAACCTTAGTGGGCTTAGGAATTTAGGTTGAATTGATTTGTTATATAGACGGACCTTCCAAGACCTAGGTTTTCTCTTTTAAAGGCTCAAAAATAGTGTTTAAACTTGTTTCTCAAAATTAAACTCATTAACCTATTAAAAATTTGATGGATTCACTGAAATTAAGAACATAAAAATTGTTGAAAAACAGCGAGCTTTAAATAAAGCTTTGATTGCTGAAACATAACTTGAATCAACTCTAGTGAGCTTCAATCGATAGGTCGATTAATCGAGCCTGGCGAGCCGATCGCTTGAAGACTACTGTAACAGTTTGATCACTCGAACTTTGCTGTGATCAACCAATCAAGATAAAACTGTTTGGGAACTTTTGAAAACCAGAATTTTAATTTTTTTTATTTTCCTATTTCATATAGGATTCCTACATTGGCTATTAATATGAGATTATTGTCAGTCTAGGAGATGTCTAGTATCTCTTTATATATTATTGAGAGTTTCTATCTTTTAAAGAGAGTTTTAAGAATCGTTCTAGACCAGAGACTATCATACTCTATATAATTGAGTGATTCAAAGCAAGGAGCAAACCTGTCAATTAAACCCGTCGGTGATCAAGTTTGTTGACTGGTAGCATCAAGAATACGAGAAGGGTCGTCTGGCATAAGTTTGGGTCAAAGGTTATTAGGGGATTCTTGGGTTTAACATTTTGCAACTTAGGGCCTGTTTGGGAACTGCTTTTGTTTCATGTTTTACGTTGCGGGTGGTGTACTGTAATAAAACAAAACACCAAAAACATGTTTGGTAACTTTTGTTGCGATTTGAATAGTATTACGTTTCTTGCCGAAAGAGGTCCAAATCGGAAACACCAAATTGGTGTTTCCTAAGGTTTTCGCACTGTAACAAAACACTGTAGTGGTAAACAGTACCAAGAAAGAAAAAAGGGTGGCCTTTTTTAACTAGCCATCTTGTTTCTCAATCTTGCAACACTTTTTTACCACACATGTTTTCATGTTTTTACTTCCAAAAATCTTGCAAGAAATTTCATATAACCAACATGCTTCCAATTACTGTTGAACACAATCCATGACAAAAAAATTATTTCTGTTGAACACTATACATTATTTTTTACTGCTTTATGCATCTATGATTGTGATTGAGACATGTTGATAACTAAATAAACTGAAAAAGACATTGACTAAATTTGAAGAGTCAGCTATTCACAAAAGGTATCCATAAACACTATACATTATTTTTTACTGCTTTATGCATCTATGATTGTGATTGAGACATGTTGATAACTAAATAAACTGAAAAAGACATTGACTAAATTTGAAGAGTCAGCTATTCACAAAAGGTATCCATAAGACCTATCCACCCCTATATAGGTATGAATTGCCATACTCTAATGTAACATAGGGTGCTAGTTCGTTCCCTCATGACCTTTCCCCCTAAATATACGGCTTAAATTGAGATCTTTATAGACATTGGAGGGGCCATTTGCTATTTTACTTTTATTTATTTATTTTTTAAATATTTTTATGCTCGTTATTCATAGGAAATCTATTAAAAAAATTTGTCCCTTCACAGGTCTGCCTATGCATGTTAGTTTGCATTATTTTTTAGTCCACTTGTTTAACTCTGTGATCCCTGTAAGATTGTGAAACACAGGGCTATATCAAAGAGATGTACTTTTCTTGTGTCTCATGACTCAAAATTAACCATGATTACATCTGAAATACATAGGCAGATATAGACTATAGTTCAGACTGCGAATGTCTTGTGTGTTTCTCTCAGTTATAAATTGAACTCTACTGTTACAAACACATGAGTTTTTTAGTAGTCTATGATCATAATGTGAAGATCTGTTTGTACACTGATGCAGTAGCCCTGATGTTTGTCTTGGTTTGCAGGTTTGATAAGGAGCTTAAGAAAGAGGTTGCTATTAAAGTTATTGATTTGGAAGAATCGTGAGTATATAGATATTTCTGTTCTGATAATCTGTCCTCACTTTTACAAGTTTAGATGCTTGCTCCAACTACTAATATATGATTCCAGTATTCTCTTTCTCCTTCTACTGAGGGAAAAAAAATAGTATCAGACGGTTTCCTTTTGCCCTAAAGCAAAAAGAGTAATTTGATCGTTGGTAATAGCTGCCCGGCCAATAACGATTTGCACAACCCTTCTGTGAAAGAAAATCCAATTATATCACGGCATAAGATACCTGTAGTTGTATTTATAAATTATTTAGTTTGTGTATTGTGTTAATTCTGAAGTTTGTTCTGAAATTTTTCTTCCACAGAGAGGATGAAATTGAGGACATTCAGAAGGTATTTGTCCACATTCTTGATGGAGATTTTGTTGCAAAGAAAATTTTGTTGCAAAGAAATTATTTAAGTTTCTCATCTAAATCATTGCTCCAGGAAATTGCAGTTCTATCACAATGTCGTTCTCCATACATTACGGAGTATTATGGTTCCTACCTCCACCAAACGAAATTATGGATTGTAATGGAATACATGGCTGGTGGCTCTGTTGCTGATCTGGTAGGTTACTTGTATTCACTTCAGAACATTTCTGCAATTTTTGTTTTTTGTTTTTTCAATTTGAAGAATTTGAGAATTCAATAGTTGTTTTTAATGTTCATATTTTCCATCTATAGCATATGTACCATATAGATTACAAGCATGTCATTTTATTGTTTCTTTGTGAGAGAATATTCATCTAGCTTTGCAATGAAATACCATTCCAGAAATCATATTGGTGCTTAGTTGTTATATAATGGATATAGTTGATATTGATGTATTTGATAAAGGAGTCAAGCAAAGTAGCTTTTCTATTCGTTATTAAACGGCATATCAGGTTGCAAAAGTCATTTTAATTTCTTTTAAACAAATGACAATTAACCGTGCCCCTTGTATAATGAATTGCATAAACCACTTATTTCTTAAATTATATATTTACTGTTAAGCTTCTTCCTCAAGGCTCCACTACTTGGTTTATACTTCATAGAAGCACAATACAAAAATGGCTGTGTAAGTGGATATCCTTGGATTTCATTCAAGGTTTTGGAAATGCACAAATCACCCAAGTGTTATATATAATATAACTATATACCAATTCAGAAATTTAGTTTAGGAAAATTAAAACAATGGAGTGAAATCAAATTGTTCATAAAAACTCTAGTAGAGGATGCATTTAGAACCGAAACTATTATCGGAAAGGATTAGTCACTTTATGTTTGAACAATTAATCATTTGATAGCTCTTTTGTAATCGAAATGCCTTTTTCATCATAAAATATTTCTGAAACTATTATTGGAAAGGATTAGTCACTTTATCTTGGAAAAAGTAATCATATGATAGCTCTTTTGTAATTGGAATACCTTTTTCATCATAAAATCTCTCTTAAAAAGTAATATTTTCCTCAGTAAGTGACTATCTCCTAAATGTCATTATATGAATTTTTGGAACTTGTCTGAAGTAGGTTCGTTGTTCTTTCTTGATCTAGAAACTTGGAGTGTTGAGTTAAAGCCAAAAACTAGAGTGAGTATGAGCATAAACAGAATTTCAAGGCACTTCAGAATAGATACTGCCACTGAGCTCCTAGGCATGTATTAATGCAAGTAAGTAAGTATGTCTAAAATATATGTGGGTATTAACTATTAAGTGGAGTTTCGTCTTGTTGCTAGAGTAAAAATGAATTTGAATAATAAATAGTCACGTCCTTATTCTCGAGGATTGGGACCTATATATATTCTTGTTGTGACCTGGAGTGGAACTCCTTGCATCCATATTGAAAAATAATATAAGATAAATAGGTGGAAGAAATTGGGGCATGGGCTACCAATTTTATGGGAGTGAGTATTGGAGAGAGATTCATGCCAATTCTTCCAGTTCAATGGAGGTTTATATTTTAGGAGGATTTAGCGACTCAACTAATGTTTTATACGGGGTTCTATCTAATAGAAACTTGAATCTTGATCATTGCTTTGGAGCAAGAGCATAATCTGGCATTAAATATTCATTTGAATTTATTATCTTTGGTGTGAAAAGTATTTGGACATTTATGAATTATAATGGATGCGCGACTACAGTTAGAATGGTTGTTGTAAAATCAAGTGAATTTTCAATTATTGTAGGTTTACATCAAGGGTCAGCATTATGCCAATATCTTGCTGCCTTGGATGAACTGAGATACATTCAGGATGAGATTCCATGATGTATGTTATTTGCTTATGATATTTGTTTTGATTGATGAAACTAGAGAAGTAGGTGCTAAATTTGAGGTCTGGAGGGGAACTTTAGAATTTAAAATGTAACATAAATAGGAATAAAAATAAATATATGGAGTGCAATTTTAGTAAATCTAAAATAAAAATAGGTATAAAGTGAAGATTGAGGATCAATAGATACCAAAAAGTGAACATTTTTGTTATTAAGGGTCAATTATTCATAATGAAGAGTGATGTTAATAATATAATCAAGGCAAGATGGGTTAAATGGAGTGTGTTTAGTATATTGTGTGATTGTCTTATCCCTCTAAGATTGATAGGGAAGTTCTATAAAATAGCTATTAGACTAGCCGTTCTTATGGGACATAATGTTGGACAGATAAGAAACAGCATATGCATAGTGTGTTGAAAATGTGAATCTTGAGATGAATGTGCGGCGGTAAAAGAAAGGATAGAATTATAAATGAACACATTTGTTACATGATTGAAGTAAACAGCATTGGACATAAATTGGGAGAATCGATTAAGATGGTTTGGAGTTGTGTTAAGAAGACAACTAAGTGTACCATTTAGCAAAAGTGACATGGTCCACATCGAGTGTATTCTAGGGGAAGGAGGAAACCAAAATTAACATGTATAGAGATTGTAAGGAGGATTTAATAACATGTGGTTTGACTGAGGTTGTGGCCGTAGATAAAACAGAATAAAAAAATAGGATTCATATAGCCGACTCCAGTTGGTAAAAAATAGGATTCTTATTTGTATTTAAATTAAGTTTATGAGATATACCAATATCACCCTTCACTATTGTTGCAAGCCTTCAGAGTTTGGTAGCTATCTTAGGGTTTTTCATATAGAAATTATACGCTGTATTGCCATTTATGTCATACTACAGTTTTTCAATGAAATCTTCTCGCCTTCTCCGGATCTCGTAAATCCACAAGCTTGATCCACTTTCCCCAGCAGTAACTGAGGTTTTAGGTTCTGAAGAACTAGTGAAGTTGATAGTAACATACATCACCTTATTCCAACAGCTTATTCTTTTTGATTAATGTCTTTTGATCTATCTATTTTTCCTCCATCCATTCCTATGATTTAGTCTTTTCAGATTTAGAGCTAATGCCATAATTTTGCAACTGAAAAAGATCTTATATACTATTGACACACTAATTGTCCAGTATAGCAGATCAGAAGGAAGTAAAGAAAAAAGAAATCTAGATTTAATGTTCTTCAGTACACCTAGCCAGATAGCCCATTTTAGTGGTGCAATTTACCAAAACTTCTTTGGTGCACTTTGTTGATATCATCATCTTCGCATTTTAATTTCCTGAACTAGTGGACAGAATGAATTGCTTTTCCCTTCCTGTTGTCTGTGTAGATGTATGTATATATCTACAATACACATTTTGTGATAAATCTATGTAAACTAATTCTCTCTTAAGCAGTGTTATTTTGGATGCTAATTCAGATTGTGCCCATTCAGATTCAACCAGGTCAGCCACTGGATGAAATGTCTATAGCTTGCATCTTACGCGATTTGCTGCACGCAATTGAATATCTCCACAATGAAGGGAAGATTCACAGAGATATCAAAGGTTTTAAATACATCAGTATTATAGTGATACCAAGACATTTCTACAAATCTCATACTAAAGCTTCATTTCATATACATTTGCTTGAAAAATCAGTGCCTTCTCATTTGTACTACTATGTTAATATCCTTACGAAATGTGCCTTTTGTCTTCTGTAAGTATTGGTTTAATGACAGCCCTTATTATAATTTTTGCAGCTGCAAACATTTTGTTGACTGAGAATGGTGATGTTAAGGTACAGTCCTTGTGCTCAAACAATGTGATTTTTTTTTTGTATTACTTATGCTGAGGCTGAATAATTGGAAGAAGTGCATACATATTGTGGACAGAGCCTGATGCACTACTTTCTTGTTTGCTCAAAGTTCATGTTATCGACCTTGTGATAGGTTGCAGACTTTGGTGTTTCTGCGCAATTAACGCGGACAATTTCAAGAAGAAAGGTATTGTTGTTTTGTGTTTGGCTTCATTTTTGATTAATATCTGTGGATAACTTTCTGGGTCATATACTGATGATATTGTTTTAATTGATGAAACTAGAGAAGGGGTGAGTGCTAAATAAAAGATTTGGAGGGAATCTCTAGAATAAAAAGATTTAAGATCAGTTGGAATAAATTGAAAATATGGAGTGTGATTTTAGTAAATCTAGAAATACAAAAAGGAATTTAGTGAAAATTGAGGATCAATAGATATCAAAAAGTGCATTTTTTGCTGTTTAGGCTTGGTAATTCACAATGAAGGAAAATTGGAGATGAGTTGTTACAAGGCAAGATTGGTTAAATGGGGGAGTGCATCTAGATATTATGTAATCTGGTGTATTCCTCTAAGATCGAATGTTGGACAGCTAATCCGTTGTAATCCAGTGTATATGCATAAAGTGGGTGCAGCGAAACTGTAAATGTTGGGATGGATGTGAGGGAAAGGGCCTCTATCCCAATGAAATAACCTCCCCATACTAAAAAAAGAGGGGGGAGGTGTTCAAGCCTGGGCGTGGGCAAAGTGTGTGTGATTACTTACCTGATAAAAAAAAAAAATTAAAAAAAGAAGACAAAATAGGGTAAAATTAGAAATGAACACAATCGTGAGATGGTTGAAGTAGCACCCATTGGAGAGAAAATGACTGAAAATCAATTAGATGGTTATCATGGTTTGCACCAATTAGAATGAGTAACATGGTCCACACTGAGGGTAATGCTAGGACAGGGAAAGACCAAAATGAACTTGAGTAAAATTAGTAAGGAAATATTTTATAACATGTAGTTTGATTGAGGTAAAGGCCTTAGATAGAGCAGAATGGAATTGATTTAGTTGACCCCAAATAGTTGGGAAAAGTCTGTTGAGTTGAGTTGGATGACTTTATAGGTCATTCTTCTTTCAGCTGTTGTTTGTTGTCAAGTTAAAGTGTTAGGGACCCTCCTTTTGTGAACTGTTCCACTCATGAGTGGGCATTCTGTCTGGTAGTTATTTCTCCGTGTGTGTAGATGTGAGTGGTGATATTAATTTTAAACAGTTTTAATTCATTAATCTATAGAAGTGAGATTTAAAGAAGGCCGTGTGTTTTAAGTTGGTGGTACTTATAGTTCGTTTGGCAATGTTAACAATGAATATCTGATCACTGCTCCTTTTAAGTGCTATTTTGCCCCCTCATTTACCGTGTTCCCCCTTTACAAATTCTTCTATTTTTTTTTCAATAAAGCCTCAAGGCCAAACCACTTAGGGCTGAGCATGCTTAAAAGTTTCCCATTTGGCTCTATCTTATTATATACTCTTCTAAATTATAGGCCATCTTGTTTCCCTTTGTTGTTTATCATGAGAGATAGAGAGAACAGAGAGAACAAATGTATATATCTTTCACCTACACACACCAAATAAGCCTATATAGGCTTATATAAGGGATAAAAGCCTCCTTAATAACACAAGGGCCTACTAATATAATGTAATTACATAATGGCCCAACATATATATATATATAACATTCTAACACTCCCCCTCAAGCTGGAGAATATATATCAAATAATCCTAGCTTGGAACAGATAGTTCTTAACCGGTTATGATCCAATGCTTTGGTAAACATATCAGCTAATTGATCTTCAGACTTCACGAATGGAGTAGAGATGCTCCCAAGCAATATCTTTTCTCGAATGAAGTGACAATCAACTTCAATATGTTTGGTCCTCTCATGAAACACAGGATTTGAGGCAATGTGAATTGCTGCTTGATTATCACAGAACAATGGAGTAGGAACTTCAACTGTCAACCCAATTTCTTTTAGAAAATGTTGTATCCAGGTCAACTCACTAGTAGTATGAGCCATTGCCCTATACTCAGCTTCAGCACTAGATCGAGCTACCACCGTTTGCTTTTTACTTCGCCATGTAACAAGATTGCCTCCTACAAATGTGTAGTAGCCTGTAGTAGATCTCCTATCTGAAGGAGAACCAGCCCAATCGGCATCTGTAAAACCTTCCACCCTGAGATGACCATTTGATTTATATAGTAACCCAACACCTGGAGCTTGCTTGAGATATCGGATAATCCGAAGAACAGCAATCCAATGTGGCATTCTAGGAGCTCCCATAAACTGACTTACAACACTAACTGCATATGAAATATCAAGTCGAGTGATAGTGAGATAAATTAATTTCCCAACTAGACGACAAAATCTGCCCGGATCATTAAATAGATCATCCTTATCAGACACAAGTTTTGTATTCGAATCCATAGGAGCATCAACCGGGCGACCACCCAACATACCTGTTTCTTCTAATAAATCCAACACATATTTTCGTTGTGATAAACTTATACCCTTCTTGGATCTAGCAACTTCAATACCCAAGAAATACCTAAGTTTACCCAAGTCTTTAGTGTGGAATCGATATTGCAGAAACAATTTCAACTTAGCAATGCCTTCAGAATCATCACCTGTGATCACAATATCATCTACATATACAACAAGAAAGATGAAGCCAGCTTTAGTGCGCTGGTGAAATACCGAATGGTCAGTCTGACATATGTTAAGACCAAATTTTAATGCTGCCTCAGAGAATTTTCCAAACCAAGCCCGTGGAGATTGTTTCAATCCATATAGGGCCTTTTTAAGGCGACAAACAGTGTGAAGAGACTCCCCCTGAGAAACAAACCCAGGTGGTTGCTCCATATAAACCTCTTCGACTAAATCACCATGCAAAAAAGCATTTTTAACGTCTAACTGAAACAGAGGCCAATGTCTATTAGCAGCAAGAGAAATCAAAACACGAATAGAAGAAATCTTAGCAACAGGGGCAAACGTCTCATCATAGTCAATACCATAAGTCTGGGTATAACCTTTGGCAACAAGACGAGCTTTTAACCGCTCAACGGAACCATCTGGAATATACTTCACAGTGTAGACCCAGCGACAACCAACTGGTTTGACACCTGGAGATAAAGGAACAAGATTCCACGTGTCATTCTGATGCAAAGCATCAATTTCATCTTGCATGGCTTTTCCTCCAGCCCGAATCAGACAAAGCATCCTGCACAGTTTTAGGAACAAATGTAGTAGACAATTGAGAGGAAAAACATGAGAAAGATGGCGATAAGGAATTATAAGAGACATACTGAGCAATGGGATGTTTAGTAACACAGGAGCGAGGAGCCTTACGTAGTGCAATAGGCAAGGATTCAGACACAGTGGAAGGTGTTGGATCCAAAGACTCTGAAGACGATGGAGGAGGCACGACAGCAGATGGCTTTGGTCTTCGAGTGTACACCTGTAACGGGGCAGGCAAAGGAGATCTAGGCTGAAGAGAAAGTGAGGGAAGTGGAACCGCAGGAAGAAGCGACTCAGAAGTAATATCAAGAATTGAATCACTATCTGAAAAATATGGGACGGACTCACAAAAGGTCACATCCACGCTAATAAAGTATCGTTGAGAAACAGGATTATAACAACGATAACCTTTATGAGAATGAGAGTATCCAAGAAATACACACTTTGTGGCACGTGGGTCAAGTTTATCAAAACCAGGACCAAGATTGTGGACATAACAGACGCAGCCAAAAACTCGAGGAGTGAGAGAACAAAGGAGAATCAGGAAATAAAATAGAATGTGGAGATTTGCCATGTAATACAGATGACGGCATACGGTTAATAAGATGACAGGCAGTAAGAACAGCATCACCCCAAAACCGTTTAGGCATGCGCATATGAAACAAAAGAGCACGGGTTACTTCTAAGAGGTGTCGATTCTTACGTTCTGCAACTCCATCTTGTTGAGAAGTATAAACACATGAATTTTGATGAATAATTCCTTTATCACTAAGATAGGTATCAAAAGGGGTTGCAGAATATTCCTTAGCATTATCAGAACGTAAAATACGAATGGGACAGCCAAACTGAGTTTTGATTTATTTTCGAAATTTTTGAAAAATTAAAAATAACTCAGAACGATCTTTCATTAAAAACAACCAAGTCAGGCGAGAATAATCATCCACAAATGTCACAAAATAATGAAATTTATTGATTGAAGAATGCTTTATTGGACCCCATACATCTGAATGAACCAAATGAAAAGGACTAGAGACACGATTATTAACCCTAGACTTGAAAGACACACGATGGTGCTTACTAAGTTGACAAACCTCACATGACAAGAATTTCAAATTACTAAGACTAGGAACTTGACGCTGCAAAACTTGAAGTGACGGGTGTCCAAGACGACAGTGCCACTGGAATGGAGACAGAGAAGACTGAAGAGCCACAGGATAAGGTGCCACATCAAAGTAATATAAGCCACCAGCTTCATTCCCCGTACCAATCGTCTTCTTCGTCTTGAGATCCTGAAACACACAAAAAGTAGGATAAAATGTAACAGAGCACTGAAGAGATTTAGTAAGCTTACTGACAGACATTAAATTAAAGGGAAATTGAGGAACATATAAAACAGATGAGAGAGACAAGGAATCACTAAGTTGAGTTGTCCCCAAACCTGAAACCTTAGCGGAGGAACCGTTAGCAAGGGTAACTCTTTGAGAAGGAGGTACAGAATTAAAATCAGATAGAAGAGAAGAACATCCAGTCATATGATCGGATGCTCCAGTGTCTATGATCCAAGGACTGCGAGTGGAAGACAATAGACATGTGGGTGCAGTACCTGACTGGGCAAAGGTAGCCGTGGAAGATGAATTAGATGCTTGCTTATAAGACAAAAACTGAGTATACTCATCACGTGAGACAGGGACCGTATCTGATTCAACTACATTATGAGACCCAGAAGCAACATCATTCGGAGAGGAGGAAACTTGATTTGCATAACTAGATGGTTTCCCATGAAGGTCCCAACAAAAATTCACAGTATGATTAGAAAGACCACAATGAGTACATTTTCGTGATTCCCTGCCACGGCCACGTCCTCCCCATGAATCACGACCGCCACGTGTGGAGCGTCCCCCACGACCTCCACGGAAAACAGTATTTTCACCCTTTGAAACAATCAATGCTGAACGCTCACCACTCTGCCCAGTATTCAAAGTGGAGGTATCACTGACAAGTGTAGCGCGCTGAAGTCTAGAAAACACATCAGCAAGAGATGGAAGTGTGGGACTGCCCATAATCTGTGAACGAAAAGACTCATAAACTGAGGACAAACCAGTAAGAAAACGAACAACATTAAAGTCCTCACGTTGTTGTTGCATACTGCGAACATCAGCAGTAATGGGCTGATACATATTCAGCTCCCTCACAAATGCCCATAACTTTGGAATAATACTCTTCTATACTGTGACTACCTTGTTCAAGATGATAATACTGCTTACAAAGCTCATAAACATGAGTGATATTACTTGTCCCAGAATACAGTTGCTGCAATCTGTCCCATATCTCCTTTGCTGTATCTAAATAAAGTAAAGTTGTACTAATTTGGGGTTCAATACTGTTTATCATCACAGAAATGATCTGAGCATCTTCCTTTTCCCATGCATCAAAAGAAGCATCAGTTTCCTTGAGTTTCTCTTTAGTCAGATGATTACCAAGGCCTCTACCTTTGAGAAAAATTTTAACTGATTTAGCCCACAGTATATAGTTCTTCCCATTGAGTTTAACAGAAGTCATGGAAGAATGAAGACCAGAATTGGGAGAAAACAAATCTGAAGTGGAGGCCATGTCTTACCCAGCAAAACAGAGAAGAAAATATGAAGCAGAATTGGTATTCGGGCCGAACCTGGGCAAACGGGTCGGATCCGAGAACAAGTCGGATCTAGGCAAACGGGTCGGATCCGGATACGGGCCGGATTTGGACGAGCGGGTCGGATCCGGATAACGGGTTGAATCTGGACAAACGGGTCGGATCTGGACAAACGGATCGGATCTGGTCAAACGGGCCGAATCTGGGCTATCCCTGGTTTACGAAACCAGGGTTGGAATAACTATCCCAGGTTTAGTAAACCAGGGTTGGAATAGCCTCACTCCTGCAGCCAAACACCACCCTTCTCCTTCACAATCAGCGCCGGCAAGAACCAGAACGCTACCACCGACAAGAAATTCCAGCACCCGAGATTCACAATGGAAAAACAAGGCTAGTACACACCCTAGCCCTTGCAGCGGTGACGACAACCCAACAACAACAAAAAAAAACAGCGATCTAACAACGGAGCGGAGAGGGATCGCGATGATGGAGCTTCTGCAACTTGCGACAGCCAAGGAAGCCTCGACCAGCAAAACGAAAGGCGTCAGATTTGAGAACGACGAACAAATCTTCAGCGAGTCAGATCTGAGAACGACGAACAAATCTTCAGCGAAGAATAGAGTTGGCTTCGATCTTGATTTTGATTTTGATTTTGATTTGTAGAAGAACAACCCAACCCAGATGCAATCACAACTACAACCCGCTCTGATACCATGTTGTTTATCATGAGAGATAGAGAGAACAGAGAGAACAAATGTATATATCTTTCACCTACACACACCAAATAAGCCTATATAGGCTTATATAAGGGATACAAGCCTCCTTAATAACACAAGGGCCTACTAATATAATGTAATTACATAATGGCCCAACATATATATATATATATATAACATTCTAACACCCTTTTTCTTTTCTTTTCTTTTTTTTCATCAATTTCCTTGTTGGCCTCTCTCTTTTCCTTGTAGTTCTTTCACCCTGAATCAAATACCTTATTTTATTTTATTTTTATAAATTACTTTTGTTAGCTCCAAATTTTTGGGAAAAGGCTTTGTTGAGTTGTGTGTACACACACACACACACATATATATATATTTTGACAAGTAAAAGAGGTTTTGGTGCTGAAGATGTGTACATATTTTAGATTATTGTTCAGTTTGAAATGGTTCTGTATAATAAATAATAGCAATAAATAATAGCCCTTGGCTGTATAACGCGTGTTATCACTAGAAAGTATACTTTTATGTTTTATTAAATCTCTCTCTCTCTCTCTTCCTCTCTCTCACACGCTCGCACACACACACACACACACACATTAAGTGCCAAACAGGCATCATCATTTTCATAAACACAAGGTTTAATGGTCACAGAAATTTCGGTTGAATGTGTAAAAGTCCCTTTTGCTGATCGTGTAGTAAAAGCTCCCATTTTTTATTAAAAAAAAAAATTCTGCTGTTCAATAAAATAAAATAAAAAAAGAAAGAAAAAAAATTCATAGTACACAGCAATACTTTCTGACTGCCCGGATTCCTATCCCTGCCTACTTATGCTATCTATGGATGATTTTTCTAAAAGTTATATAGTTATATTCGGTTTTTCCTTTTTTGTTTTTGTTTTCTATTTCCTTACAATGAGGTGGGAAAATATGTGCATGAGTCATCATGACTTCACACTAATGCATTTATTAATGACAGACGTTTGTAGGAACACCTTTTTGGATGGCTCCAGAAGTAATTCAGAATTCAGATGGATACAATGAGAAGGTATCTATTGCATCAGTATCCTTTGGTGCCTTTTTATTTTTGGGTTATTTGTTTTTCTTTGTTGTCATCGAAGCATCATCAATGTCGACTTCTCTCCCCTTTCAATTTCTCATATCCTAGTTTTTCGAGCCATGATCAATTTTCATATGCTGGAAGTCTTTGCTTGATACAGGCAGATATTTGGTCTTTAGGGATAACTGCAATTGAGATGGCAAGAGGGGAACCACCACTTGCAGATCTCCACCCAATGAGAGTTCTTTTCATTATACCTCGAGAAAATCCACCACAGGTTTACTTTCTATGATTTAATTTCTCCCTCTCATTTTTTCTTAGTTTCCTTCTTCCTGTAGGCTTTCTGATTTCATGTTGGCTAACTATTCTTGTTGGTTGATTTTGATTAGTCAGATTCTTTTTACCATATGCCTTAATCAATCTTTCCAATTCAGAGCCATTGACGCTTAATGTTTGTTGTGCAGCTGGATGAGCATTTTTCTCGTCTTATGAAAGAATTTGTTTCGCTGTGTTTAAAGAAGGTGCCAGCCGAGGTAGTTACTCATAACCTCCTACTCCCTTCCCTTCTATTTGGCTCTTCTTATTTTGAAACTTTCTTGGCTTATGGACTATGGAGAAACTTATGGGTTGTTCATGAAACTGCATGTTATTTAGGACTATATTATTATCCACTTTACTTAATCAGTTTTATGTAGCAAATTCTATAAATTTTCAGAAAGGGTTTTATTGAGTTATATGTAATTGGATATGCTTCTGCTATCAGTCTTTAAAATTGGAAAGCCTAAGAATGTTAACACTGGTGTCATCTTTATATGTATTCATAATTCACATATTGTACATTTGATGCTTATTGGGGCCATTGCTTGGCGCAATGATAAAATTTTAGGGCCTTCGGGCTAACAAATGTGAAGATGCGCGTTTAAGTTTGAGTGCAGCCACTTCGTGCAAACATAAAACTGAAGTTTATGTTAATCTCCAGTGTTCCCTCCAACACTCTGTTAGGTGGGATCACCACTAGACTATGGCCAACGATAATTGGGATGAGATATGCATTTGTGTGAACAATGAACTATGGACAGATTTCACTTGCCCTTTCCCTCAACTCTCCCACGACAACAAAAGGACAAGGAGAAAGGAAAATTGTTAAGAAGAACTTCACAGGATGTTTTCAATATCTAGACAATATATAAAGTGAATGGATGAGGTCATCTGACTCTAGTTTTGGCCCTCTAGTTCTTGGTGCCGTATGTCGACAATTACTTTAACAATCTCTGATACTCAAAACTCTACATGGTGTTGCATGCATTTTGGATACTTCTAAAAGACACATAACTGCTCTTCCTAGCACTTGCCGTGTAGATTTCATAGGTTGGACCTCCAATTGAGGTTACAATCACTAAAAGGAAAAAAGAAAAAAAGACCAGGACTATTTAAATTATGCATGGTGTTGAATGTTTGTTGGATAAGATTGGAAAAATCACATCTATATGAAAACAAAATGCATTTTCCAGCAATTTCTTTTCTGGCATAGTAAGTTATTGGATTACTGGCAGTTATGGTAATGTTTCCATTTTGTCCATTGCAGACATTTCCTTCTATAATTAATTGACATTGAACTCTTTAGAGACCAAGAATTTTGATACAAGGACATAACTATACTGAATGAGTAAAAATTACCAGGGGCAGTCTTCTCTCCTTGAATGACCTGTTGAAATATTAACTTTTGTTTTAGTGAAGTTTTTCGTTTGGGTTCAATCAGGTAGAAATGGTTTTCTTGAGATGTTATTCAGCTTCCAAGCTGGAGCATTTCTAGAAGTGTTGTGACTCCCCTAGGGTCCATGCCAATTTTCCAAACAGCCTAAACGCCCTAGACAGTGGAGGTCGACTCCCCTTTGCTTATTGTGGGCCTTGTGACGAGAGCGGAACAGGTGATCCTTTGATGGAGTAGAGGTTCCATTTTCAGTTTGCCCAACCTTTTTATCACTACCGAGCACAATCATACATTGAAAAAATTCCTCTTCCCATGAACATGGTGTTCATATGGCAACCCCCAAAAAGAATTTATAGGTTCCAACTCTCATTCTGGAGTGCTCTGCAAAGGTTGGGTTTCACGTATAAGTGCATAACAATATTTTTTTATGATTTAGATATGCACATTTGGCACCTTAAAGTTTCTTGCACGAGAGTTGGTTTTAGATGCAACAATACAGAATTTCCTTTGAAGTTGTTTCCTGTCTATGTCTTGGGAAATGGAACGTGTGAATTTGTGAGAAAATTATATCTTGAGTAAAGGTAACATTTGCCAACAAAAAGTGAGGTTATCTTCAAAATTTTCAATCTGTGACGGTATGGAATCAGTTTGGGGTGTGGAGTACATGTTTCCTTTAGTGATGCATAGTTTTGAAAGGTGAGACAATCCATGAAACATAAGTTTGATACCTTGAGCTGCATCCCTGATGCTTGCCCTACAAGAGTTTGCACAGTCAGTAGTCTCAGGCACTTATGAAGCACATAATATGAATATTGCAACTTGCTTATGACTGAGATTTCAGACATGAAGCCTTGAATGTCACTGTGTCTGAAATGGGATTGTCTTCTCATCTCTCAAATTTGTGTCAAAGAATTTACTTGTCTAGAGTAACATTTCCTGTGTATGTTTTATGCATGAAAACTTTGAAAATTCAATATGATGGCATTTTTGGTTAGTAACTTTTGACACAGTTAAATGAATAGAAAAGCACTTGATATATAGTTTCAAGACTCCTTTGTGGCTATTTGTTAGGCTGAAAGCAAGTAATAACAAGATGCTTGTAATGGTCTGTATTTGTTGTGAAGTTCATTTAAAGGATCAACTTTACTTGATCCATACACCAGAATTTATAAATCTAATGCTTCAACTTACTAGAGAACAAAAGGTTTGTCTCCACCTTTTGCCTATTAAAACCATGCAGTTGGAATTAGATGAGGTGGTGGCATGATCTTCCATTACTAAGCTTGACCATCGCTGAAAATTATAGATTTTCTCATGCCATATCTTTTGTCTTGTTGATTTCAGAGGCTAAGTGCCAAGGAACTTCTGAAGCACCGTTTTATCAGGAACGCTAGGAAGAGTCCAAGGCTTTTGGAGAGAATAAGGTGTGCTGCCTTCCTATTCCTAGTATCTTAACTTCAAATGTATATAAAATTTTGCTGTTATAGCTCTTAAAATGAGGGTGATACTGTATCTGCCTGCTTTTAGCTGTAGCCACAGCCTTGTAATTGTGAAACTAGGATTTGACCTGACTACCCTTCTCAACCTGATGATAATTCGAGTAAGTTAACATAATAGCTAAATCACCTTCAAATGAAAAAAATAAATAAATGAGAACACATTTTTGTTTACTCGAACTTGAAAACTGCGCACATTTCTCTCTCTGATGCACATTGTTTTAGAAGTTCACTGATTCATATTTCCTTCCATGGTGAAGTAGTAGCTACCATATATTTGTATTGGGAACGAGTAACTTCCCAAATTCTGTGTACCCATTTGCACTAGCATGTAACAAGCCAAATGTCAGCCTAGCGCACAATTCCCACCAGATGCTGGCATGGCCATGCCTGGTATGATTAGTTCAGCTGAGAACTAATTTGCTAAGATCGCCTTGAATCTGATTTGTAGACCCAATGACGCCAATAGACATTACAAATTTTTAAGAGGGCATCATATGGTGTAAATAGTGGACTGGTGGCGAGGGGGTTATATAGGCAGATGGCAAGGGATAGAAAAACGACTTCCAATTAGAATTGGAGGAGAAATAGGCTGATTTTTATTGTGTATATGGAAACCTCTCTTGTGGCTCGGGGGGTCCTAAAGTTTTGTATGAACCAAGGGTCCTAAAGTTTTGTATGAACTAACTTCTTTTCTACTGTGTACTCTTGTTTTTGATTTTCAAGTTCTTGCTATTTATCATGTGATGGTACAATGAGATACACAATGACCAACTTGGATACAGTGAGATGTGCAAAATGACCAAGTAGGAAGGGAAGATGGAGGATGGGGAAGGACCAGCTGAAGTTGACTAGTTTATTTATATCTTTGCAAGGTTCACTTAGTTGTCTTTCACTGTGTACACATATTTGTACATAATATATTTACATTTTTCCGATAAGCTACATAATTCATATACATAGAGACAGAGGAGAGAGAATTTAAGGATGCTTTGATGCGTGAGAGCCGAGACAGAATGAATAGGCGTTTGTTTCTTTGAACAGAGAATTTTTATTGTGTGCTGATCATTTGTTCTGTTGATACTTTAAGTTTTTTTTATCCGTTTTCGAGCAATTATTTTGCAGTTAGTGAAGAATGGCCTGGCCAAATCCCAATATCTTTTTAATGAGGCTGTAAATGCACCGAGAGGGCTGTGGAGATGGTCCCTCCCTTAGGCCTATTCGATTGAGAGAATTGAAAGTAAAAGAAAAGAAAAGAGGAGAAGATGAAATATGTTTATATTAAAAATGAGGAAGAATATGAAAGAAAAAGGAGGAACTAAAACCGAAAAGTTGGAGGAAAGAAGGGAAGTTAAGCCCTTTTGCCCCTATATCTAATGACAAGTGAATTTATCTTTTACCCTTTTTAGTTGCATGATAAAATATATATTTACTTTTTATTTTTATTTTTATTTTTTTTAGGCACCATCTTTCCCAAACAAGATGAGGGGGTCACCACTACTTTTCCCCGCTTCCTAGTTAGCTTTCATTTCTTCTTTCCTCTCCCATGTCCTAACTAATGCTATTATTCCCTTTCCTTTCCCTTCTGCTTATTCAAACACACTGTTAGAGTTTACATCTGTGTTAAAAATATATTAATGTATGTTCATGTCTGACATGGATGTCTTTAACAGCAAGCCAGAACAAGCTGAACTATTACTCGGGCATTAGTTCTTGATGATTTCTGATTCAAAGACGTGTGTTTGTCTCATGAAAAGTTCTAAATTAGCATACCGCATGGAAGAAAATTTAACTTTGGTCATAATAAATTGGAGAAAAAAAACAGAGTAATAGTTCCGCTTGTTCTGGCTTGCTGTTAAAGACATCCATGTCAGACATCCACAGATATTTTCCGCACATTGAAGATATTGGAGATATTGATGGAGATGTCAGCATATCAACAGATATTTTATTCTATTCACAAGAGCATTTTTGTTAGCTTATTTAACATAGTGATCTAATTGAGTTTGCTATTGTCTTGACAGAGAGCGCCCAAAGTTCAAAGTAGAAGAAGAAGCTGAAACTAGAAACAGCCCTAGAGGTGGGGCATCTGACACGGTGAAGGTGACAAGAGATTCAAGAGGTGAAGAAACTGTCCGGGCCAGGTGGGTTGACTATCTTGATTACTTGTTATGCTTGTTGTGTAAGTTAATTGTTGATTGACTGGTACCAGTAATACAGTAGTCAGGGAAGAACCCTAAGAAATGCTGGATGGGACTTCAGCATTGGCGGATCGTCTGGTACTGGAACAGTGAGAAGTGTTCTGAAACCACCTCAAATTAGAGAGAGAAAAGCAGAGGTTCCGTACAATCAAGCTACCCCAAGTAAAAATTCTGATGGTGGTTATCGATCATCATCTACTTATGGAAGTGCCCTTTATGATTCATCAGAAGTTTCCCTTGAGGAAGATGTCGGAGATAACAGCCATGATGAGGACCAAGATTCTTACCATGATAATGTAATAATCAGTCAACTTATCTCTCAGAGCATTTGTTATGTTTTGGAACAGTGATAGATACACAGTCGCCTGTCCTTATTTCTCCTGAGGCTGTTTAATGTGCTTAATTTACAGGAAGATTTGTCAGTGAGTGGGACAGGAACTGTTGTTGTACGACCGTCGCGAGTTCAGTCATCAGCTGTATTTAGTGATCATAGTACTCAGGTATCTCTACTCTGTGAGTGAGATGGTGAAAATTTTAAGTAGATGAAATGTGTATCTCCTTGTGGCCCCCTTTCCATTATCTTGATTAGGTTTCAATATGCCATTTAGTCTAGCAGCACATATGCTTCTTTTGAGGATGCTTCCACCAGTGGCACTGTTGTTTACCGCGGACAACATGACGATTTTGATTCTCCCCGAACTCCAAAATCCAGACTGGGGTTCCAAGAAAGAACTTCAAGTTCATCACTTGAAGACAGTGCAGTAAACCTTGCAGAGGTAGTTTATTTTTTAAAATAGTTTACAGTCTATTCCAATTAGCTTGCTAGCACTGTACGTTAATTTCAGAGTTTTATAAAAAGCAAATCATAAATCAAAATTTCATTATGTAATAATTTGTTTTTGTTAAATATGCATTGACAACTGTGAATTGTCACAAAAATTATCAGCTTGCTCTGAATTTTTCATGGAAATCCGGGTATTTGATGTTCTACTTGAAGTTCATCATCTGAACTCAGACATGCCTGTTATTTACTCATATTCTGGATTTGAGTTCATGAGGGGTGTAGCAAAGATTTTATGCCAACTGTAAAATACCTAATACTACCCTTTTTTCCGCCCTTGAGACCAGTTGTGTAAAGTTAAGACAATAAGCACGACATAGGTGGAGAGTGTTTTTTCGATCTTTGTCTTTCTAGAATTCATTAACTCTTTCTCTCTTTTCCCCTTGAATTACATATAATTGTTGTTGGCTTTTAAATTTTGTCCATTAATTCTGGACTTATTCTTTGACATTTTTCTGATTGGATTTTAAAATTCTAAATTATACTGGTCACTGAAGAATTATCTAATATTACATATGGGACTACTGGTTTGCATTAAAATGCTTTATTTTGCTGGTATTTCATTCAGGCAAAAGCTGTGATTCAAGGGGGATCAAGGAAAGGAGGAAATGCTCGAGAAAGGTCTGCACTGGGTAAGCTCAACAGAGATGAGCAAGAAAGTACAAAACCAGAGCAATTAACAAACAATTATGATTCTTCAGGGTATGTTGACTTGCTGCTAGTCTTTTGGCTTGGAGTGGAATGTTTGAGATTTGATTATATAAATTCTAATTGAATGCCATACTATTTTTCCCTCTCCTCTTCCCCATTCCGTCCTACTTCAGACCTTCTCGCGATTATCTTGATGCACAAAATGCCTTTTCAAGATCACACCGAGTAAGTGATGAAGAAGACCGTGCCAGAATTTCTGCAGCATCATCATCCACCTCATTATCAATTTTGCTCATTCCTTCATTAAAAGAGGTGAGCACTAGGGACTCCAATTTTTGTGATAGAGGTAACCTTGCATTGCTCATAGTTTTGGAATTGAGGCATCCTTGAGATAATAATATCTATAAGTGCCACATTTGGATATAAAATCAACTTAAATGCAGAGTCGTTTTTAAAATTAAAAGTTATCATTATGAATTTATTATTTAGTAGACAAAAATTGTTGAACTCGGATGATGACTTGATCTTCAAAACTGCTTCATTGGTGACTACCATAAGTAAGGAGTATAAGGTTATCCTTGGAGAAAACTTAATTTTATAACATGATTTAGTCGTAACGTGTGGTCATATTTCAACGTGTCAAAGAAAGAGATCAGATGTTTGGAGTCCGAAAATGAGTAAAACCTCAAAACAAGGAATAGGTTGGTTTATGGAAAGATAGAATGGAGTGAGAAAGATTAAGGTTTGGAATAGGAAATTAATGCCTGTGGGTTTATATGTCTGGTTTTTAAGTAAAAAGCAGAAAAAATATTTCCGTAGAATCTGAAAGTGATTGTTACCTAATTCTTGTTTGAAATGGCATTTTGCCGAGAGGTCCTGCACTCCTGTTAAAAGGCTTGGCCATAACTAGGGCTGAGAAAGGTTTGAAAGACACAAATATGTTGAGAGGGAAGTTTGTAAAGTATCCATTACGGCTGAATTCAAAGAACACCATGATTTTGATACGGCAGTTGGATACAAAAGATTGAAAGAGGCGTATGAAGTTGATGATTAAGTGCGCTGAAAGTTACATTCATAACTTAATTAAGATACCATTTTAAAAATCTTATGTTTAGTAGGATTTGATGAATTCAGAAGATGAAGGATCTATACGTTCTTTCCTAAAACTATGGTGGTTAGAGTTGAGATGCACTGAGAATGACATAAATAAGGGCTTCTGGACTAGATAATGTTGTGAGCTATGTTACATGGGTAGGGTAATTTTTTTTGGTATTTATCCAAATCCTTAAACACAATGACATGGAGACACTACTAAATTTCCATATTTTCCTAATATTCTTTTTAGTTTTATGGTAAAATGTAGTTTTATGTGGTATAAAGCGTTCAACATGAGAACATTAGTCAATTATGTAAAAAAATGATTCTACTTGGTGACAATGTCACAATCTTAGCCTTGTGTGTCGTTGCTACTCGTGAGAAATTATATTTTACAAATCAAAATCAACTTCTAAGGTGACAAGAACTATTCAAATATTTTTTATTTTTTATTGTTCAATAAGTACGAGATTTATCTGTTATATAGATCCGCAGCTCAAAAGTTTGAAGGCTTGAATCTTGGTGCATAACATCCCTAAAACTTGGTTGTAGTTTTCTAGAGTAGCTCAAGCAGACACAAAGGATTTTATTGAGATATTGAATGTCCTTAAATGCCTTTATACCATAGTAGTACTAAGATGCTTTTTGGAGAAGTAAATACGAATGTGTGGCATATGTATAAGCACAAATATTGAGCTTCATTTCTCAAGTTCTTTCCGTTGAGCTAGCTATAGCACCACCAAGAAACATTGTTTTAGCCTGTCTGTGTAGCCAATATATCTAACCTTGAGTCTGACCAGGTATTCCTTGATAAGCTATTTATAGTAGCTAGGGCTTGCTTTGAAATTCATTATTCAATCATAAATGAGCCCCATCACGGAAATTTAGGAGCATTATTTGATTTTAGTCATAGCAAGGTCCCCTTCTTTTTATTAATTTAGATTGGGTAGTTATTATTATTTTTTTCCTAAGAAAATACTTGTCTGCGAATCAGTCGGATCACATTTTTAATGATGGTATTTCAGTATTTTTAGTCTTTCCACCAAGGTCTTGGGTAGATCCTATACCCCAAACATATACGCATCTACATGTAGGAGTTTTCAGAGTTTTATGGACCAAATTGGGCTGAGATGCAAAATCTTCCTATATAAATGTGTTGGGGTATATATAATGCAGGCTGTTGCTGATGATTCAGAAGGGTCGGTTGTGCATGCAGTGGTGAATTCACTCATGGATATGGAGCTAATGAAGCCCGGGTCTTGTGAAGTTCTTGTCACAAGGTTGCTCCATCGGCTGGGAAGGTTCATTAGTTCCTTCTTACTCTTATGCTTGCCATGTCATTATATATATACTTGAATATGGTTTTTGTTGTATAGTTATGCAACTCATTTGGGAGAAAATATGTGCAGTTCAAGGGAGGCTTCGTTGAAAGATCTGCAGGAGATGGCAGCTCACATCTTCACTAAGGGCAAGACGACTACTGAAAAGACGGAGAATACAAATGTGGAAGTCGATAACCGGAAGAAGCAACAAAACAAGGAACTTCATTCAAACGCCAATCTAGGTTCACTTGCGAGGTTCTTGCTCTCAAGGTTTGTCAAGTGATTGTTTTCATATACCTGATAATTGATTCAGTACTAGGGAAAAATTGTGCATCTGAGTACTTAATTCTCGAGCAGCCTATTTCAAGACCTCATGGCTTGAAAATGGAAGATCAAGGCCCAACAATAAATTGTTCTTGTGGGTGCCTCTAGCTCTGCTCTTCTAGTGGCTCTGATGCAAGTTGATCCTTTGTTATTAGTACGATATATGTTTGTTCATGACCTATACACTTGCGCACTGCAGATGGCAAGGCCAAGCTTCACGAGATTTGAACCCAACTTAAAAGGAGGTCGGAAGATGGTTTGCGTCTGCGCTTATTAGTGTGTTCTGTTTATTATTTAATTTTTATTCAATGTAAATATCATTATAGAGGGAACTTGTATTTAATTATCATTATTATTCTTCTCTTGGTCCAAGAAATTTTATTATTCATTACTTGTCATTTATAGTTGAATCTTGATGTGTAACTAGGTTGCTATTGGCACATTGTCAATATAATATTAATAAGAGTAGTTGTCAATGATTATCTTGGTACAAATTTTGTATTCATGGTAATCTTGATACAAGTTTTGTGCAGCATTTTATGTCTGCCAAACATTATGGGACAAAAATGTCGTATTGAAAAGGCTATTTCAGCATTCCTAATTTCTCTTGGTTCCTTTCCTTTTGGTTCATAAATAGTTCCAGATAAAAGAATAAGGAAGAAATATGATATTGCTGCTTCACGGTTTGCTTCAACCCCAAATCTGATGTGAGTTAGGCTGTGGACAACTAAACCATAATTAGATACACGTTGGCATCTTTCGGAGATGTAGATGTTTAGCAGCCAATTTCTTTTGTCAATTCGAGTTTAATCGGCAACTACATTTTTACCTGGCTTATAAGAAATATTCATCTTTGTTTTTCAACCCAATTGTGATCATTACCAGTGTCTAATGGTGCTTTCTGTTAAGTTCTTATAGGAGAAAGTTGGTGTGCGAGTGTATTTTTTATGAAATTATAAATAAAAATAATACTAATAATATTTAAATTTAAAAATAAACTAGTCAAGCTCCCTGCTGTTTAATGAATTGGAATTTACAGATTGTACACTTCTGAATGGATACAATGTCTTCTGAAAGCAAATATGTTATAAATGGAGATCTCTAGCAGTCCTTTTGGCTCCGTTTGATTAAATGTAAATAGCATGAAATGAAAAATGAACGGAATTTTTTATGAAACATTTTGAGAGTTTTGAGTGGTAGGCAGAAAATGATTTATTAGAAGCTACAAGTATAAAACAATGGCATAAAACCACAAGATTCAATGGCATATTTTTTACCACGTGTGATTTGATGGAAGCTACCACATCGCCTAACAAAACAATGTAAGAAAACATGAAGCCTTCTTTTCATTAATGAATAGAGCCAGTTACACACTCAAATAGATGGTTAAATTACACAATTAACAGATTATAATAATCAAAATCACCAAGCTAATCCTGATTGGGAAGCCTCAAGTCTTTGCTCACAAACTACACGAAAGCTTTCAAAAATTCATCGACTATTATCGTCCTTTTCTTCCTTCTTGTTTAGTAGTAGGATGAAGGCCCCCACCCAATCGCCCCCCAACACCACCCCCTAACCTCGATCTTTAATGCCAACTTGATTCCTCTCAGCAATATGTACAAGGCAAGCCTTCAAAAATAACGTTAACCGTACCGTATCTCTTTGCTGTTGAAATGCTTCTATTTCCCTCTCCCCCGAGTAGGTTGCTTTGCTGGTGTCAGCTTCCGGAATGAGGCATGCAAAAGCATACCTACAAAGATATTCATACAAAAGTCAATGCAAATTTAAGGGGAAAAAACCCTAAAAAGAGTGCCCATGAAATCCAACTCACCTGCATAACTGACACCAAGAGCACAGAATAGTGCCATCTGAACATTGAAACAGAACAGAATAATGGCAGTTGCTGCAATGACGAGCACAGTTAATATTTTGGAGATAATAAAACAATTTCAACCATACATCAGTGATGCCTGACGATACAGTTCATGTTCTTTGGACCGACAATTTTGCTACAAGTTATCATCATTACGACAAGGAAAGAAGACAACCCAATATCTATCTGAATAATGAAAAGAGTAAATAAGTTTTGATTTCTATCTCTGACAAATGAATGTAACTGGCTTCCAACTTTGATTGCTAAGTCAAGAAACATCCTTTACGTCCAATTCTTAAAATATAATCAATCCAATTAAAAAAAAAAATTTAACCGGCTACGGAACAACCGAGCAGGGGCAAAAATACAAGTAGATACATAATTTCGAGTGTAATTTTTTTACTCTCTCATTCCCCATTTTATGGCAAAGATGATTAGGTGCCTTACAAAACTAGGCTAAAAAGCTTGTTGTTGTCAAAATATGCACTCAGGCTCACTTCCTTAACTGCAATATGAAATTGAAATCAACTGCTTGGTGTCACAATGGGCCAATTTCACAACCAAAAGGACTTGTCATTTATGGGATATACCGTAACCATTTAAGAAGCCCAGGACCACCCAATATACATTCAATGGAAAGCTAAACACGTATACACATCCATGACAAGCTCCCCCAGCCAGACTCTTGCACCCTTGCAAGGGAGACCTACACCTCCGTGTATGACACTATGACCTGCACAACAGTTTTTCAGAACCACATGATAGTACTTCTGTACTGGTTTTGATACCGCTGTCATAATGAACCAATTCCTTGAACCCATATAAGAAGCCAAGGACCATCTAATACACACTTGACGTGGCACTCAAAACACATCTGCGCCTCCATGACATTAGGCCTTTTTTCTTGTGACGTACTAAGTTTTCTAGCATCATTTGCCAATTTGCCATCATATAAAGAGAAAAATAGCACTAGGTTTAAGTGAAACCTGCTGTTCACAACTGTTATACAGAATTTAGGAATATATGGGGTTATATATGATAATATGTTATCTACTTAGCTTAGCTATCTAACTAGTTACCATTGATGTGTGAGACTAACAGATTTGAATTTATATTGAAGGAAATGGCAAGAAGAAATGGAGCTTTAGGTAACTTACGCAGTCACCTAAGGCCCCAGCCAATAGAGGGCCCCTAAAATTTTTATTTCTACTTCCTAAATTTTTATTTCCTTATATTATTAGACCTCAAACAATAGTAGAGATTTAATATTGGCCCCAAAGAATTTAATTCATTTTAAAACTTTTCATTCCAACTTCTATTAAAACTCCTAATTTCTATCGTTATCTCACGTCCTCTTTTAGTATTATTATTTTTCCCTCCTCTCCTCATTTCAAGTCCTTTTCTCCTCTATCATTGCAACAGCTGTATTAATTATTGAATAAATATCTGACCAATAATTGTGGGAATTGATATAACTTTTCATCTTCTCTTATTAACTTTTATCTTCTTTTTTTTTTTTTTTTTTTTTTTTCCCCCTTATTCCTCACGATTTTCCTCCTCTCTCATTACAATTCCACCCCCCCTCCTATCCTCCTCTCATAATCTCATTACAAACTCTCCCTATCCCTCCCCTCATTACAAAGGTTTTTTCTCATCTCCACTCATTACAATCTCATTATCTTACTCCATCTAAACTCACATTTATCCTCTAACATATTATGGCATTTTGGGACTCTTCAACGATTTGAACTATTAAATCTCTACTATTGATTGGGGTCTAACAAATGATATTTAGGAGTTTTAATAGAAGGTGGCAGTTTATTATAGCAATTTATTCCATTTTCTAATAAAAAGCAAGAAAAGTGATTTTTAAATAAATAGTATTAACTATTATTTAAAATTAATATACTACACATTAAAAGACCACTTTAATATTTTTCGCCCGAGGCCTCAAATTATATTGAGTCGCCCCTGGGCAGAGGCAATGACACAACAGCTGGTACTTCTTTGGGACCGGCTGCCAACCTTGGTATTCCTGAGATTATGGAGATGTTTAGAGCACTTACTGATACGGTTAGGACTTTGGAGTGTACAATTCAGCAGATGGGAGCTAGAGGAGGTGCTCTACCACAGCCAGATCGTGCTGGGATAGAGGTACCAGCTCAGCAGGAGGGAGTTGGGGTGGAGGCTCGACCACCAAAGGCAGTAGCTGGAGTGGCGGCTCCTGTGCAGCCAGCTAGAGCTGTGTCCTTTTCTACCATGGTTAGGGAGCATAGGAAAGTTGGTGCTACATCCTTTAGTGGAACAGTGGGTGAAAAAGACTCTGTTCCTTCCCTCCTCAACCTCCGTTAGAGGCCAATAAGTGGTTGTTTAATTCTCATTGCTTTCTGCTTATTTTTTTTACCTATGTTTTCCTCCTTATTCCTTAGTGCTAGGAATACATGAATAGCAAAAAACAAATCGTGAAGCCGACTAATAAGTTTGGATAAAATAAAAGTTTTATTTTGTTTGCACTTAGTAAATAAAATATTTGAATTACAAGTAACATTAAAAAATTTGGTCATGGTAGGAAAAAGCAAAAAAGATAAAAGGTTTGTCATAGATATGATTTTCAATCCAGCCCCAAATTCTTGTTATTCAAGGAACCAACCACCCTTTGGTTGGACAACTAAGCTGGAATTATCTTCCTATAGTCAGATGGATAAAGTATTTTAGTTACTTGGAAAATTTTCCTAGTTGGGGTTGTGTAGTTATATCATAGGCAATCTCAGGAAGAGGGGTTGAGGATTTTGATGGCTCTGTGCTATTGACAACCCTAGCAATCCTTGATTAAGAGGCAAATTTAAATGAACTTGGGAATTTGCAACTGCTGAAGCCTGTCCTTTGGCGCTAAGGAGGGGAATTCCATGTTATTAAGTTGTCCAATCAACACAGTGGTAACAATAAAATTACTCAAAGCATGCAAGTGCAGATTTACCCAAACACAGCCTTTAGAAGTATCTCCAAAAGTCATAATTCTCCATCTATTTATTAAGAAAGCCTGGGGGATTATTAATCATAAAATAATTGCAAAGATGTTTCCGAACGTCATTCAATAGGGCTTGACAATTGGGACTCCAATCATTGTCTGATGCTCTGACCTTTTTTACCCCTAAGTGGAGGCCCCTGTCCGTTTAGATTTCAGAATATGTGACTTTCCTGTTGCTCCTTTGGGTACTCATTCACTTCTAGCAGCGTAGCTGTGATGTTGTGGTTTAGGAAGGTCAAATATTCATGAAAAAGTTATAATCCTAAAAGGAATAGTAGAGTGAAGGGTAACAATAAAATATTTTTTCCTTGAGCGTATTAGCTCGAGAAAAAAAATGAAAATAGAAAATCTAGGTCCAAATAAAATGAAAAAGGAGGATGGAAAAACTAAGTAATTCAATAATCATATGCATAGCACACGGAACAAGAGCCCTAACTAGCAGCCTAAGAAAGAAGAGCCTTTCTTTGACCGGACTGCCTAAAAAAGAAGTCTTTCTTTGCCCGGACTGCCTAAAAAAGAAGGGGCTTCTTCTTATTCTTAAACTACAGATACCGAAAGAAAAATATTTGACCCATACTTCCTGCCCTAAGCGCCGGAGCAATATGTCATAACTGGATCCCACAAAGCAAGGTTAAAAATAAATAATAAAAAATAAAAATTGCTATACCGTTAGCATTATCACATGCAATTATGAATGAACAATTTTAACAAATGTAAACCCAAACTTTACATAATGTCTTTAACTAAGCTCCAACTGCACCAAATTAGTTTCTTCCCTTTTTGATGCATAAAAAGAAGAAAAACTTATGAGTTTCTAACCAAGTAATAGCTTACGAAAAAAGCATTGGGAAACAATTTAAATGAACTCACCACATTGGGCAATGCGAACCAAGCTCTGTTGAGTGACAGGGTATTGATCTAAACCCCACCGTTCAGCACAAAACCTGAACAGATCCCAGAGAGCTAAACTTGATATCAAACCAACAAGAGCAAGAGGCATTTGATACCTACGGCACATCAACAATAAACAAAAACAACTATTAACCACATGATTAGCATGGAAAAATAATTGAAGCAAAAATGCATACCTATATAATCAGTAACAACTAATTTACTATATCCCTCCCCAGGAATGCCACTACTTCCCCTTAAACCATAAAATGTACTCACTCCAACACTGACATGGAAACCCCAATCAATATATTTAATATTAGAACACCCTTCTGCTCCTGCTCCTAACAAGATCAACTGACGGTCTAATTCATTATTCAATTAGTATTTACAAAGTATTTTACTTGCTTTCACAACCAATTTGCAAAAACAAGAATAGAGTATAAGCAATTCAATGACTTTAACCAGAATGTACCAATCAGATTAAAAAGGGCATACACAGTATAATAAATAGACAGATAGAGAGGCATACAGAGAGCAGGCGAAGAATAGGATAAACAGAGAGGCGTAATTGCGAGCGTAGCGCTTGACGTTCTCGTGAACCCTCAATCGAGCCTGCGATGGGGAAGAAGGAAACGAATAGGAGTCGCAGAAGCCGATGAATCCAAGGGTCCACGACGGAGTCTCCCCGGAGAAGTCGTCGGCTGTGAGCTTGGCGAAGGGATTGAGGGTGAAGAGAGAAAGTATGGTCGCGAGATAGGAGAAGACTGAGCGGAAGAACCCATTCGCGATGGGAGTGGCGGAGTTAGTGGAGGCTGTGGTGGAGTTACGGTGGTCGGAGGCGGCGGCGGCGGTGGTGGCGGAGGTGAGGCGGTGGAGGTCGGAGGTCCGTTCGTCAAGGATTTCGAGGTAACCACTGTCGCGGAGCCAAGACTCGAATGCGGGCTCGGGGACGCTCAGAGATAAGGGGTTCGATGAGAACACCATATTTCCCACCTCCGACTTTTCCTCCCTAGGAATTTGTTTTCCAGGGGACAAATAAGTACTCCTCCTGTTTCAAAAACAGATGCCTGTTTGTGAGTCACGTTTTTTAAATAAGACATTTAATTTGGGACGAAAATAATATAACACATGAAACGAAAGGAAAAAGAAAAAGGAAATTACACTTTATTTATTTTTGCATTCCACCATAAATTTTTAAAAAATAATATAACAAAATTATTTTTTGAATGTACGAGTAGTTTTTAAAATAATTGCGAAGTGTGATATATATATATATATATATATATATATATATATATATATTTTCACATTACATATAATTATACTATTGACATTTTAAAAAATAAAAATAAACGTGAGTGTGAGAAAAAGTGAACGTGGATATATCATTTTTTCAAAGAATAAATAGGTCTATTTAAAAGATTTGTTGAATTAGTGCAAATCTGTATTACCAATATTTCATCCAAGATTTCTCTCTCTTACTTTAGAGTTTAGACTAAGTTTGGATGGGAAAAAATAGGAAGAAATTAAAAGAAAAGAAATGGAGAGAGATGATTTTTTATGTTGGAAAAAAAAAAAAGAAGAGTGGAATGATTTGGAGTGATACATTAAAGTTTAACGAAATTTTATTAATACTAAATTTGTCCGCTATAAGGAGTTTCGTACTCTCAGTTTTCTCTTTCTTTTTTCTTTTTCTTTTTTTTTTATCTTAATTAATTTAATCCTTTATTTTTCACCTACCAAATATAGCCTTAGAGGAAAAAAAATTGAAAGGAAAATTTTTGAAATGCAGAAGAAGGAAGAGAATGGAATGATTTGGAGTGATATATTAAAATTTAACGAAACTTTATTAATACTAAATTTGTTCACTATAAGGAGTTCGTACCCTCAGTTTCCTTTTTTTATTTTTTTTATCTTAATTAATTTAATCCTTTCTTTTTTACCTACCAAACATAACCTTAGAGTACATTTGAATGGAAAAAAATTGAAAGGAAAAAATAAAAATATAGAAAGATGATAAATTATGTTGGCTTAAAAAAGTAAAAGCAGAAAAACCTTGAACATTACTAGCTTTTTCTAACTACTTAAAAAAAAAAAAATGAAATTTTGTTTTCCTTTTACAAACTCACATAATTATCTTTATTTTTTTATTTTTCTTTTTTTCATTATCTTTTTTCTCAATTATCTTTTATAATTCATCTATTTGGTTTTTTCTTGGTATTCTATCATCTATAGACGGAAAGAATAAAGCCGCTCAAATTACACCTACCTGTGGAGCAAAAGAGTGGCGCGAAGTCTCAACGGTTGGTGTGACTAACTTTCTCTCCTTCAGAAAAGAAAACTAAACAAAATGTCAGTCTGTTTCCTTCGCGGTCGTTTCTTCAAACACCTTGCATACACCACCGTCTTCTCCATCCGTCACATTCATCGTCGCACTAGGCCTCCCACATCTTTAACATCTCCATTCACTCACTTCTCAGCTCTCTCTTCCGCACCCACTCAAGCACTACCCCAATGGAGGCTCACTTCGATTCCCGCTACATTTTCAACTTCTTCTTCTCCGGAGATTCCGTTACTCTTCACACCTCCTTACATCTCTGTTAGCATTCACTGTCCAAAAGATGTTGCTGTAAGCCCTTTCTTAACCCCCCCCTTCTTTTTTTTTCTAACCAAATTGGATTTCATTTTGTTGTGGTATTGCTTTTTTCATTTAATACACACATATTTGTATGTATATGATTTGTTGTGGAGCTTTGAACCATAAAACAATTTTTTTTTTTTGGTTCACTTTTTTGGAATTTAATTATGTGAAAATTTTATTTTTACTTTTGTTAAAATTGTATGTATACACACATATCATTAAATTTCCCATGTTTTCCCGCTAATTAAGAATCATGGGTACTAAAATTCCATATAAATGTATTATTTGCCAATTAGAGTAAGAGAAGAAAATGCATCACTTAGTTTCATTTTGTTTTTTAAATTAATTTTTCAAATAGTTCAGAACTAGGAGGAAGGAGGATGAGTCAAGTAAACAACTAGCGTGAATCATCGTTCATTCACACTGTTATGAAAAAGGAATTTTGAAACATGTTTGTCTTATTGTGGGGTTTATTTGTATGAAGACATGGACTTAGCTAGAGTGATTTAACTGGGCTACAATGGCGGAGGATTCGTGATAAACCTATAGCCAAATCTTCTATGAATGAAAATATCTAGAACTTGTGATTTTATGATTGGACCGAATGGTGAGAGTGAAGCTTTATTGACCTGAGTTTGAATGAAGATTTGTCTGAACTGCATGTTGTTTTTGTTGGAAATATAATTTAGAATTTGCTAGTATATGTCTAGATACATATATGATTTAGAATAAATGAATTTTTCTAGGATAATGAAAAGTTAAGAAGATGTGCTAAATGGCAATTATATAACCAAGTCCTACATAAAAGACTGTCTCATGTAGTGTAATCTTGTAAATCTTCTTAGATCTTCTAATATATAACAATTTAAGTGTTTTCATAAGAAGCCAAGTCTCCTACATCCACAAAGGAGCTCTGAACGGCTTTGGCCGTACATCTCCAAACTCATCAGTTTTTACCTATTCTTTTATTTTATTTGATTATGCTTCCACTGCGACTTCAACAGTTGTTGTGATTGATCAGGATATGTTTTCGGAATCCCTTTTATGTTTTGGTGCAAGTTCTACCAGCATGGATGAACAAGACATCTATGAGCATAATGCTGAGGTAGACATTTTACCATCTCTCACTGCTGATTTTGCAAAATTTCTAACTTTAAGTAGGACATAGAAACTGGCTTAACTTTCTGTTTATGAAGGAAACATGGATAGTCTTATGTTAAATCCTTTGAAATAAATCCATATCTTCATCTTTTTTATCTGGCTAATTTTTTGTAACTTGTATCTTTATCTCTTTTATTTGGTTAATTTTTGTTGACTTTCTGTCATTTTTATATTGGTATGTGTTGCTAAATTCTGATGGTTGAGATATTCTTTGGACTTATCAAAAAAAAAAAATGTGTTCCTAAATTCTGATGTGATCACACTTGCTGGTGTACTGATCACTAAAAACAAAAGAGAAAGGATAATTGTTCTAAAGTTTTGCTCAAAAGATCTGTTTTCGTGCAGGTGTGCATTAGTTCCATATTTTTCAATTGCCAAGATGTGGATGAGTGCATTTCACATGCTGCTGATTCCATAGGCTTGAAAGAGATACCTCGTTATGAGGTCATTATGGGTGACCATTCTGATTGGATAAAGAAAACTCAGGTTCAATTGATTGTTTTATACATTTTTTGCTTCAGAAAAAAACTTGTATACTATTGTCTCCTTGATTATGTCATTTCTATGTCTTCTACTTCTTTATGCAAACTATACAGTCCAGTGTTGTTTATGATCTTTTGATGTATTGTGGCAGCCAAATAATTTTGGCTTTGCCAGACATTAAACTGTGACAAACTGTCACTCAGCAGGATCCTGAAATCCTATTCTTCTGCAGGTGCACTGGATGGAACGTTGACAGTCACTGCATCAATATTGCTTGCTTAAATATTCTTTTCTCTTTAAATTTCATTAATTACTTTTACGGAAAGGCATTCCTATGCTGACTAGAAGCCACTTCATCTGCCGACTTTATTCACTATTTGCTGTGAGATTTGCAAGGAGTTAATTCATGGGTTGAATGTTTCCTATTTTGAACAATGTGCTTGGCACATTGTGAAACTTGATGGCTTGAGCTGATTCACTCCCTTACCTTCTCGTGTGTGCGTCTGTCTGTCTATATCTCCGTATACAATATGTTCTCTATTAAGTAACTTTGAATACAGTATGTTCACTATTAATGTCAGAGACTATTATGTCTGACATTAGCAAGTAACTTTGAATTTCCATATAATGATAAATTGGTTAAAATTTAGTTTGTCTAACAACTTCATGATTTTCTAATCACTATTTGGGTAATTCAATTTATTGTGGCACTGGCTGGCCCACCTGCTCAATATTGGAAGCTATGCTCATTAATCATATTCTTGATCATATCTTGTCAATAGTCTCATTTGGATTTGTTCTTTCTCTTGCAGGAATCATTTCAGCCAGTGGAAGTTACTGAGGGACTTTGGATTGTGCCTGAGTGGAGAACTCCCCCAGTATGATTACATCTGCAGTTTCCTTCTAACGGCCCATTGCAGTTGTTGTTCTATATAAAAGGACAAGTCTTTATTGGCTTCTGTAAAATCATTAAGCTTTTGCTTGTGGTTCATTTTCTTTATTCAACTTATGTAGAGAACACCTGATTGCATGCTACTTGAATTTCCTGCTTTTAGTACTACTAAAGTCATCTATATATATATGCCTCTTCTTTCCTCCAGAATCAGTTTTCCATATTACAAAGACTAAGAATTCTATCAGTTCACTGAAACAAATTTAACTTTATAGTTAATGTTGGCATTTACGTAAATAAAATTTCATCATTTGAACTGCTGCAGGACCTTCAAGCAACAAATATAATTTTGAATCCTGGACTGGCATTTGGAACTGGGGAACACCCTACAACTAAGTTGTGTCTGCTGCTGCTGCATGGATTAATAAAAGGAGGAGAACTCTTCTTGGACTATGGCACTGGTTCTGGGATCCTTGCAATTGCTGCCCTTAAGGTACACAAATATTGTTATAAGTGAAATTTTTGCTTTAGGTACCTGGGGGCCTCATATATCAAAGTCACTCGAAAACTAATTACCCTAAATAGTATGTTGCTTATGGTTAGTCCATCAAACTTAAACATCTATGTATTTCATGGTACATTTGTCTTTTCATTGATCTTTATAGACCTGAAGGAGTCACAGTATCATACGTTATCTCTTCACCTTTAAAGTTGAAATATATTCATCACTTCACGGAGGAAAACTAGTTATGGTTGTTTCTTGGGTTTCCCAAAAACTATCTTATTCAACTGAAAATAAGTGATAAATGTTCTTCAGAGGCAAGAAGCAATCAATTATGAGAGGAAGAATTTGGAGAATGGGACTAAACAAAAAGAAAGACCACCCAAAAATACCCAGCCACTGTAACACAAAGAACTTTGAAAATAGTCAATTTTCTAGGCTTAATAAAAAGACAAAAGCTTTTGCTTCCGTACAGATATGACCAGTGATTAAAAGACGAGCAACTTTCATCCAGGTGTTTATTCTGTTCTCTGTTAAAACAATTACTGGGACTGTGAAAATGATTAAAATCAAACTACATGAGGTGAGAAGTGCTTTGCTTTTTTTATTTATTGACAATGTCATCCATGTGCCGGTGATAGTTAATCCTGTATTATATTCTCTTACAAATCACAATTATTTGTGGTTTTGCTTCAACTTTTCATCCGGGTGTGTTACCAATGAAGTGTATGTTTCTTTTCAGCAGAACATTTACAAAATTGTGTTGAATATTTCACCCAAGCTATAAATTATTTGTTTAACTTTCATCAAGCACATATAACTTGATTTTATTTAATTTGGGACACTTTGTCATCAACATATTCATTTACGATTTCAAAACTGGATACATTGTTCTTCTTCACTTCTTCTATTATGCATTCCTATTTGCCACTCTCTATTCATTTTTATCTTTCCTGATTTGCTACGCCAATAGATTTTCGAATTTTTAATCTGTTTTTGCAAATGGAAAATTCAGTTTGGTGCCGCCCTATCTGTTGGATTTGATGTTGATTCCCAGGCAATAACATCTGCACGTCAGAATGCCACTCTGAACCACATAGAACCTGAGAAAATGCAATTGCATCTTGTCCCTAACAAACCGAGCCCTCCCTTGACGAATGAGTTGTTATGTAGAGGTGTGGAAGGGCCAAATCCATGTGGCACGGGAGTCATCACTGAAACAGGGAAGTACGATGTGGTTATTGCAAATATACTTTTAAATCCTCTACTGGATTTGGCAGATCATATTGTTTCTTATGCCAAGCCTGGAGCAGTTGTCGGTGTCTCTGGTATCATATCTGAGCAGGTATATTCATGGCATTGTTGATTTGACTATGAATCATATTTAGCTGGTTAAATTTTGGGGAAAGCGAAAATGCAGGAGATAGTAAATTCTGGAAGCTCACAGTTGCAAAATTTATTCTTTTTCAAGCTTCTATGTTTCTGGCTAGGGACATTTTCCAACTATTTAACTTGTTCCCAAAAAAAGAGGAGGAGAAGAATATGAAAAGATAGTCCACTACTAGTAGCTGCATATGTAAACTCGAGAAGGAAAACGAAAAAGAATCAGTACCAACTTCCAAGCTGATGTCTGGGACATTATGGTTTGCATTTCTAGGGTTAAATATTATGTGAATTTGAATCTTTCTTTCTTCAAGAAAGGGGAGGGATGAAAATCATTCCTAGTTTGTGAAAAGTTTCCTGCATCTAAAATTGCATTGTGTGTACTCATGGAAAATGAGAAATCTATATGAATGGTGGTTGAGCTAGGTTTTCTCAGCCTGACAAATTTCCCCATATTGTCTCCATTAACACAAATTTGTCTTGGCTACCAAAATTTTCCATATTCCTCTCCATTAACATGCAGGATGACAAGTTCTTCCACTTAAACCATACCCATACATGTGATGAAACCACTTGAAGTCATAACTGTTCTCTATGTTAGCTATTGAATTTTCCTAGGTTTGGATCCATGTTAATTGAACTAGAGGTATGTGTTTTGACCTGACTTAATAGTGTCCTTGTGTGTTAATGCAGATTCCATTTATTATGGAACGTTATTCACAATTCTTGGAAGGCATTTCAGTGTCAACAATGGATGATTGGGCTTGCGTAACCGGCACTAAGAAGAGAAATCTTACTGTTAGCTGAAGAGGAGAGCCGTTTGTTGAAACAGTATGTAAAAACTTGGGAAGCTAATGCTGTTTGGCAAAGTTCAAGGTCAAGCTTGTATCGAACAATACAGCATGGTTTCTCTGGCATGAAAATGGCCGTTGTTTTTTCTTTGTATTGAATCATGTACTGTAATATTATTCATTTATATATATCTTCTTTGATCATATAAGAGAGCCCTAAGATATGTCCATTTGCAAAGCAAACCATATCAGCACCTGAAACTATTCTTTGTCCAAGTACAGAGCAGTGCTACAGTTTTTGAAAACCCCTCTCTGAAAATAAAGTTGGGCAGAGTTAAGGATTCATTTTGAATAACATTCTTTTAAATTTCTAAAACAAGTCTCTGGAACAAAACATAGAAATAAACGGTGCCAAATCTTCTGGTCACCACCGTTCAATTCATGGTGTTATGTAGGAAACTTGTATAAGTTTTATAGCGTCTGCATGAAACCTGGTTGCAATAATGGGATCGCATCAAAATCTTGTAGGCAAACAATCATGTGTTCAGCAGATGCTTGCAGAGCTTAATAAAATCCATCTTTATTAAGACAAGTGCTGAAAAAAAAATACAAAGTAGTTTTCTCTAGAGAATTAATGGTCATGGTTTTCTTGTTCCAACGGTCATAATGTCAGCACATCATCTAATGGGGTGGAGGTTTAAAAGATAAAGACACAGCAAGTGGGATTTTCCTTCACAACGTGAAGAAAATGTCAAAGCATTCAAACAAACAAAAAAAACAAAGGTAATCTCAAAGCAGGTTCAACTGCTCATAAAATCAACATAGCAGTTTTAGCAGTCTGAAATTGAAGAACCAGAAAACAGCTTTTACATCTTCGAAAGGACTGCATCCATTCTCGACATCAAAATATGGAATACATTCTATTAATACAAAGTGAGAGAAAAGTTAGAGATCTTCGGCATCGCTCATGGTAGGGTGGGTGTCGATATAGAATTCGGTGTCGAGTCCATCGATGATCCTCTCTCTGTTTCATAACATGTGCAGGATATTCAAATGAGAGACCGCTGGCAATTGCACGATGAGGAGAAAGATGTGAATCATAAGTTTAGAGAGTATATACCTTTCAAGGACAAACTTGCCTTCTTTGTACTTCTGGCTCTTCTCATGTGCAGCTTCCTGATTTGAGAAAGAGCCAACGTTTTTTTAAAGGCTAAAGTTGATGTGACATTACAAACATTTGTGCATGGATGTGTGTGTGTGTGTGTGTGAGAGAGAGAGAGAGAGATTACATATTTCCAACCAACAATTTGTCCGCAACAGCAGCAGAAAATATCTGCTACAGTGTGCATTCCAGAAAGCATCATCCTCTGCTCTTGAGGTCCAACAGTGAAATTCACCCTATATCAGACACACTCGTAGTACAAAGTTCAGTGAACTGAAGTACTCTATCTGAAAAGGAAAATCTAACTCCAACATGTAGTTTCTCATGGGCGGATCAAAATAATTATAGGTTTGTCATCCATGACATATATCAAGTCAGCAGATATAAGTATTCAGTCCATCAACTCAATTTTTTTCTTAATAACATATTAGAATAAAAACATTAATCCAGAGTATTATGTTAATGATACAGGTAAATAGCAAACTGGATGCATATTAAATAATGGGTTATTTGTTAGACTATCAGATAGGATCTTATAGCAACTTTTTGTTAACTGATCGTATTAGAATACAATGCAGTCCAATCCGTTTACAAGCCTAAATTCAAATTCAGGAGACAAACTCAAAAACATGGTGATATCAAATGTGACCAAGCTAGCCAATATGTCAAATTCAGCTTAAAACCACAAGTTAAAATGTTAACCGCATTGCAAAACATCAATAAAACCACAAGTTACACAAACATAAGATAGCAGATAAATCTAACCAACAATAAACAATATTCAGAAATAAATGGTCTGTCAAAGAACTACAAAGAACTCACGCGCTATTGAAGAGATATGCTTTTCCCTGACGACCATGAAAAGCCTGACCAAATCACAAAGCAACAAATGAGATCTGAAACATGCAGTTTAAAACTAAAAAATCTATGCAAAAATAAAATGTGCAAATCAGAGATCAGGAACCAAAAATAGAACAATAAGATAAAAAAAGGAAGAATTCTTGATTTCTTCTCACAAAAATTAAGTTACTATTTAGCTCATAAAGAGAAAAAGAAGTATGATAAAAGCGTGTACTGCCAAAGATTACACTCCAGGGTCAAGTCTGTACTTACTTTGTGCAACATATTACCAAAAGTAAGTTAGTATCATAATCCACCCAGCATATGAAACTCGGTAGTGGTCTTCCAGAGAGGAGGTGAGGTGAGAGTTGGAACCATCTGTAAAATATTAAACATAGGAAGCATATTTCAAGCATAATCTTGTACGAGATGGATGAAAATTTAATATCTCAAATTCCTTAGCCATGATTTTGGGAAGTTATAGAAGAGTTGTGTTTGTTTGGCCAATCCTTCTCCGGTGGTCTCTCTAAAGTCTCAAATCCACATTCCATATTTAAATGCGGCATCCTCTGGTAATCAAAGTCATATACAACAAACTTTGTCACTAAAACCTCCCATTTCTGTGCCGCCGCCGACGAAACCCTCACCAAACTACCAAATCCCAAGTTATCCCTGCAAGCCTCACAAAAACAGATATTTTCGGCTATCATCAGTTCATTTGCAGCTGTTGTTTGGCAATATTCACTCAGCTGTCTAATTTTTCAAGAATGATAAGAATTCAAGCTCTCATTAGTGTTTATAACACTTCAACACCAAAAGCTCTCAGCAACCAAAGACAAGAAAACCAAACAATCACTGGTCGAAGATCTTGCTGACCAAAAACCTCTCTCCAACCAGAAGTTCTCCAGCGAAAGCTCTTGCTGACCAAAGATTGTGGAGAACTCCGGAGACTTCAACATATTTTAGTGGTTGAAACTGTAACTCCGACCAAAAATTTTTGGCAAGTTAAAGCCCCAAATCCAGTGACCACACCCCATCAATTTTCTGGCCAGATCTCCAGCGATCTTATTCCCTCTCCATTGCTCAACAGATACACATCTCTCCCCCTTTGAAACTACTTATATATTCTATATGTTGGTTGCATTATACCTTCTTACATTATAGCTCCCTCTAATGGAAGCTGTCTGAGTTAGCATAAGTTGGATGCACTAAAAAGTGTCCTGTTCCTCAGATTGACAGCTTGCAGTACATTTATTCACTGAAGAAACAAATTAAAACGATGCCCTCTTGTGATGCCAACATGGAGAAGCCAGACTAAAGAAATATTCACTGTCCAGAATATATAGTTCTTTCTCAAGTGAGTGATGTGGCATGCTGTAAGGTAATGATCCGACAACACACCACAAATAAGCATTGGTGAATATCAACTTATGGTAACTCGGAGAAAATTGGAAAAAAATTAAACACTAGGACAACATATTGTATATGTATATACATACACATAAGCATATATATATATATATATATATATATATATATATATATATATATATATATATATATCGTAAAGTAAGTAACACACACCCATTTTGCCTCACTGGGGCTTGAACGCTCGACCCCCTCTTTGGAAGATGGAAGTCATACCACCTAGGCAAAGAGCCTGAAACAAATCATCCAAACTGCAATCAAATACCGTATAAATGTACTTGCAAACGGTTCTACAATCCCGTGATTCATTGTTCATGTACATGTTTAACATTTCATAGTTCATGTGTTTGATATAAACTAATCCACTTAAACCTGTGATTTTTGGTTTATGACAAAAGTCGGCTCTTTTTCCAGGTAAGAGTAAATTACAACTTGATTTCTGTAAGCTTCCAAAAGAAGAAAGCATCTTGATTTAGTAAAATAAGAACGAACATACTGGCTACTTAGACAGCAGTTCTATTTGATTTTATAGCTAAAAATGCTCTTGTTGGTTCTATTTTGTCTTTTGGGACTTTCTATTTGTTACAACCACCTATCCACCCAACCCCTTTCCAGGAAGTGGACATGATATCAATCAATAATTTATCCATCATGTCGAGACTCTGAGGGCGAATAAAGCAGTCTAAAAGGATATGAAAGAAGTAATCGTGAAGAGTGATGCCCAGGAACAACACACAACAATGCTACATAAAAAATAAATAGACGCACATAACTTATTTTTTTAAGCTATGGATGAAGACAGCAATTTCCAGTAACATATCACTTTTTGGTGACCACGAATTGCGAAGAGGAAGAGTTTGTTGAAGTAACTATTGCATAAATTTTTGTAGGCATACTGTTAGGAATTAATCTGCCCAGTATCACACACACAAATATGCAATGGCAGCAAAGGAAAAATAAGATGGAAATAACACAAACAACCAAAAACGAGATGTACGTGGTTCAGTAAATTGCTTATGTCCACGGGCGAAGAACGACCAACTTTTATTCAAGAAAAGAGAGGATTACAACTCTCAACGGAATACCAAGGAGCGTTCCATACTCACTCACTAGAAGAAGACACACACTCTTCTAAAACGAATACGTACACTCATTCTTGCTCTGTTCTTCACTCGGCTCTTTTTCTTCACTCTGTTCTTCACACTCATGATTTGGGCTTCTCTGTTTACCATGCCTATATTTATAGGCTAACTTTTGAAAGCTTACCAACATACAATTCACCAAAACCACCCTTGAAGTAAACCACCTTAGCCAACAGGCAACAGTGCATTAAATGCACTGTAAATACAAACCTCATTCTTTATATGTCAATTCTGACACCTTTCCCCCTTTTACTTTCTCATTCAATGCATGCATTACTCCTTCCACACACATACACCATTCATTGCACACACATTCAATGCATAAACAAGCACACCAGCATAGACCAAGCATTGACTCACCATTCACTAACACACATCACTGGCCAAATGAATTTGAGCCACCTCAACAAATTTGCTGAAGTGGCTCAAAATCACTGGACTACTAATGTGTGTACTAGTGAATGGAATATGCATAGATGTATACGTTAAATGCATATCAACTAAAAGAATATGTTTGGTCTATGTGGCGGTGTTCAGCAGTGCATGAATGGTAGATTGTGAAAGGCATAGAAATCAGTGAGTGTGTGGGGTAGAGATGCTGAGTGAGTGTCTCATGGAGTAATAGATCATGAAAGGCGTAGGTATCCGGCACCACGCCTGAGCATTGAGTGTGTGTAGACGATCTGGTGTTCAAAGCCTCTTAACGGTGTAATTTCTCCTGAGGTAGGGAGTGTGTATTCTCTACAGTTGTAATATCTCTTCTTTAATAATGAATGGTGGAATCTCCTCTCTTTGAACATAGTGCTTGTATTATTACTTGTTATTTAGTTTTCGGATCTCCATGTTGGTTTTGTTTTCTGCTTCCGTTGTGCCACATGAAGCACATAAAAAGAAGGAGAGAAGAAAAAAGAGGGGTAAGTTCAATCCACTAAAACACTTGAGAGCTCAACTGAACAAAATGTTGTCCCAAATAATTGGGGATGACTATATCAATGGTTGTTTCACCGATATGCTTTGTCTAACATCATAACATCATCTTAAACATGCATTATTGTATCTTTCTTCACCACTTCAATCCAATCCATGTTCATTTTGATCTTTCACTTCCTCTATTAGTACACTGACTATAGTTCACTTCAATCTTCCACTTGTGCAGTATTGTTCTTCATTGCACACGGTCAAACCATTTAAACTGAGCTTCCCTTATTTTATAGCCAATAGATACTAGGAAATCCCAGAAAAGATAAATTGTATCAAGTAATTAACAGCCAGCCTAACTGAGATATCCTCAAATTATATGATGCTGTGAATTATATCCTTATATGAACAAGTAATTAAGGGCTCAAATTAGTTACAACTCAACTAAACTCAACAAAGCCTTTTCCCTACTACTTGAAATCGGCTATATAAAATTATGAATCCTATTTTTCCATTCCGCTCTATCCAAGACTATAGCTTTAGTTAAATCGCCTGTTATCATATCATTTCTTAATAACTTTATCCGCATTAGCTTCAGTCTTCCCCTTCCCCTAGATTTACCCTCAACGTGGACCATTTAAATCTTCGTAACTGGCACATCTAGTCGTCTCTTTGCTCATGGCCAATGTCAAACCTCTTAAATTCTTAATCGATTTTCTCTCATTTTTATCTCCATTTATTGCTACTACAACCATTTTGCGAATGTATTCATTTCTAATCTATCCTTTCTTGTCTTCCCGTACATGATACATCCATCTCTCAGCAATGCTTTCAGAAACTGATAACAAATTTTTCGCTCACTGAAATTGTTAAAACCCTCAAATATTATATGATGCTATAAACTAATTTTTCTCAAATTCTAATTCTAAAGCACCAATTCCATGCAACCGAACATAGCATGAGCCTATTCCTTAAAAACAATAATTTCACAAATATCCCCTTTTTTTTTCTTCCAAAAATTAAAAACACAGACATGCACAATAATTTCACGAATATCCCCTTCTAGTTCAGCATCTGCTTTAATCACTTTGAAAGAATTTTTACATCTAGTTCAGCATCTGCCTTAATCACTTTGAAAGAATTTTTACATGAAGAAGAAAAGTTGGCAACACATAAAAAATAATAATAATAATAATAATAATAATAAAAAAAAAAAAAAAAAAAAACACGTGTGTGCATATTTATAAAAACACACAGACAACACACACAAAAGAAAGAGGAATAAAGTGAAATGAGAAATGAAAATAATACCCGGGAAACAAGTTCGCCCGAGAGGGCTAAATGAGTTTTGCAGAACTTGCATCTGTAAGCCTTACCCTCCAGTTCCACCACGAATATCCTTCCCATCTCTCTCTCTCTCTCCTTTAAAATTCACTGACTAATGATTCATTCACAGCAAACCCTAATTGATATAACTATCCAGAGACTGTGTTGGAAAGTCTGCGCGTTAGAGAGAGAGAATTAGATGACATCACAAGGACACCGCCCACCTTCATCCCAGAAATGTCGAATCTGAACGCCAAATGTCGAGACACGTGGCTGGGTATGTCATCCTCACATGATGGGCCGCATAACTGGTGCTAGTGTTCCTGTTAAGTTCATGCCAAGCGGCCCAATTCCATGTTGGTTTGAGAACAAAAAAGAATTTTAGCTTAAAAAATCCAGTGGGCCAGTTGCAAATGGGTCGGGCTGCCCAAATTCTCAAACCATGGATTTGGTAGTTCAGAACTTCTTCATAGCAACATGTTTGGTAGAAGGAAAGAAAGGAAAGGAAAGGAAAGAGGAAGGTAAAAGATTCCTTTCATTCAATTTTTTCATCCTTCTTAGTTCCTACCATTATTATTTCAAGAATTATTTAGTGAGGAAAGGTAGTGTGATAATCACTTTCATTATTTCGGAATTATTTGAAGGTTAAAGAAATATAATTTCTTATAAAAATTAATGACATAAAAAGAAAATCATCAATTACTTTTCATTATTTTTTAACTTTTGTAAGGAAAAAGAATGCACCTAGGGAGGCTACGGGAGACCATTTTCTCCTCTTAGCGAAGAACACTCAAATAAAGGAGCTCAACTCCCTTGACACATGATTTCCACATTTTTTACTCGTTCCACCACAAAATACTCTCTTTTTACACGTTGGGATAAGAAATTGATTGGTAACATGCACCCGTCCCATGTAAATGCATTGCAACACCATTTAAATGGAAGAAATTCATTAATCCAAATGTTAAAGTACAAAATTGAATCAATTCGACTGTCCGTTAGTAATTAGTTTTGAATAATGTAATAATTTTTCTTTTTCCTTTTTTTATATCTATGATCACTTAATGAAACGGGTGGGCGCTTGCCCATTTACCCAAAAGTTCGAACTGTTGGGTAATGCTGCATACCCACCCATTTATACCCATGTCACTTCCCATCCGGATCCAATGTGGGACAAGTTTTCTCTTGTAACAATAGACCACCTTAGGTAAAATGCGCCAAAATGGTGGCGGGACAAAGCAACAAACAGTTGTTACAACTGCTAGTGATAAGGTAAAGCCGCCCAAAAACCCTAAACCTTAAGACTCTCTCCTACATACATTGCACCTCCCTTTTCTAACTATCTGTTTAAGAAGGAACACCACCTGTCTCACGGAAAATTATTAAATATTTCGGGTATATATTCCCGGGACATACCAACCCTTAGATGTGGTGAGACTCACCACTATATTCATAATTCAATGACCCTCACTGTACTCGGGGCATTCAATAATCTCTCCTGTCTCACATCCACACATTTTCTGTGGGTCCCACCCAACCACCCACCCCTTCCAACCAAGCAATCACCAGTCCGCGCCGGATTCATCACTGTCTCTATTTTCAACACGTCACCACCGCAATTAAGTCCAAATCGTTGAAGCCGCAGTTACCCCACTTTGATATTGAGATGTCCCCACTCCCATAACAGCCATGCAAGTTTAAGTCCATGTCCACGTCCTCTTTCGCGTATATACCCCGGAGAGGGCGGAAATCTTCTTTCATGGGTTCTGGACCACCAATACTGGGCCCCACCTCAAGCTGCCGTCGATACACGACCCTTTGACACGTGGATTTCATTATTATATCATGAGGGAGAGTTAAGTAATTTACGCAAACATAAGTAAACGAATCATAAGCAATGTTACGAGGGAGAGTTCAGATCCACATGATCAAATCGATTCATAAGTAAATATTATATATATTTGAAAAGTAAACGAATTATTCCCACGAAAATATCAAAGTGAATCAATATTTCACGGCTCAAAATCATGTTTATGCTATTAAGATTTTAATTCCAAATTAATTTAACCTGAAATCGAATCGTTTCTAAATTCTTTGAGCTTGAATTTCGCCCAACAAATTAAAAACATGGATGTAATGTATATTGATGATATATAATTTAATACGTACCTGCTTAAACATCCTTATATATCATACAACATCCTTACACAAAATGAATGTAAGTATAAAATAAGATAGATGATATTACTGTTAAAAAGAAGAAAAAAACAAAGAAAAAAAGAAGAAGAAGAAGATATTTATAAAATAATAATAATAATTTAAAGTGAGAGACCAGAAAACATTGCCAAGTGCCCTAATAAATAATGTAATTGTACCCATCAAATAATTCAAGGGGATGTCCAAAATGCATCTGAATTTCTTTCAAGTTGTTGAGCTTAATTACTACTACATCCATACAAATACACTCCTCATTAATTTTTCACCGACTTAGACTGCATTAAATGGTTGTTTGTCACAAACAAAAATAAAATAAAATAAAACCGCATTAAGTGTCATTAAGTTTTGTTATAAAAAAGAAACGTAGAAGTGTAGAACCTTGTGAAGCTGACTTCAAGGTTTTCTCTTATAGCATATAGGAACCATTTGGTTCCTATAATTAATACCATTCCCCACACAAATAAATAAAATATCTAGGGTAATTAAACAGTAATACAAGTCTGTCAAGTCACCATTATGTTTTCAGTAAATAAAATATAATTTTAATTTTCTCTCGTATTAAGTTACAAATCTGTATGTCAATGGGTCATGCATTAATTTTGTCCAAGTTGTCAATTACATAAGTTTAACATATTCACAACAGAAATGGCAATCAATGTCAAAGATCCTCTCAATTGCTTGTAGTACTGCAAACACTACATGTAACATCTAGTTAATACTCCCTCTTATCTTTTCGATCCATATTTTCAAGTTAAGAATCTATGTATTGAATTAAGAGTAAATTATACTAATCTCCTTTTAAGATTTTGACAAATTACACAATTAGATTTAATACTTGTGTTCAATTATATCCTTAGTGTATTTTTTTTTTTTTTTTTTTTTTTTTTTTTTTGGGTTAATCAAAATTTATAAAATAATAATTTTATTCTTTTCTTGTATAAAATGTAATGTAATATAATATATTATTATAATATAAAGGCATTCACATCTCGTGAGGTTTGCGTCAACACCACTCAATAATCGGTCAACGCATTAGTTTACATTGATACCCCTGAAGTTTCAAAAGTCATATTAATTTACCCCTGAACCTATTAATTGACAAAAATAACCTTAATCAATATTCTTAATCCCCTCCCACCTACCACCGTCACACCTATACATAATCACCTACACCGCCACCGCACACCCACCGCCACACCGACAGTTACCCCGCCACAACCACCGTCACACCTACACACACACCACCACAACCACAACCACCTTTGCACCCCCACCCCCCCTAACACATACACAGCCACTACTATATAGCAGTAACGCCATCACCGACACCACAACCAGTGCCATTAACCACTGCTGACATACCCACACACGCACACATACCACCAAGACGAACCATTCTCGCTCAAGGTCAGACTTGCCCAAATACTTCGCGGTGGAGCAATTGTCAAAAGTCACCAACTCCGACCAAGCCAAGATCGCAGAATCCGTCGCCGCCACAACACCTTAACGTCGCTAGACAGCACCACCGTCGCTCAACGCCATCAATTCCCATAACTGGTTGAGTGAATCAGTCGAACGGTGGCTCATCCAAGGGAAACGACTTTTTCTTTTCGACGACGGTGGCGATCGAGACATCCTTGATGCATTGAAGCTTTAGATCGGGGAGCGAATCGGCTAGCGCTATTCTCTACCGCGGCTCCACTCCAAAACCCTATTCCAAGAAAACCTCTTCTTCGACGGTGCTGCCTCCAAGCTCTCCTCCAACCTCGCCATTGTCGAACCTCTCTTTAACGGTTCTGCCTCCCAGCACTATTCTCTGCTAAAGCATTTGTTGTCGAACCTTGAGGATAGATGTGTATTGTGTAAGGTTAGAGAGATGTAAAATGAAGGGTATTTTAGTCCTTCAAAATTTAGTTTTATAGGGTTATATTAGTAATTTATACTTTTTATGTATTTGTTGACTAAGTCAAAGATTAAAATAGTCATTTTCTCAATTAGAGGGGGTGTGTATGCAGTGACGGACCTAGAAAATTTTGTGGGGGGGGCGGGGGCGACTTTTTAATTTGTGAGTACAAAATGATATGATGGGTTCATTTTTGTAATTTTAATAGGGTTTTTTTCCATAAATTTTAAAAATTTTAAAGTATAAAATGAAAAAAAAAAAATCAGTGAGGCAAATTATAATTCTAGTAGGGGCATCTTCATAAATTATCAAAATTTGATGTATAAAATGCTAAAAAAAAAAAAAGAATCCAGTGGGGCAAATTGTAATTTTAGGGGAGGCATTTTCATAAAATTTTAAAAAATTAGGGTATAAAATGAAAATATTAAAAATCCAGGGGGGACATCTACCCTCCTGGTCACCTATTGGGTCCGTGCCTGTGTGTATGAACACTTTTGAAACCTCAGAGGGTGTCGATGTAAATTAGTGCGCTGACCGGCTGCTGAGTGGTGTTGACCCAAACCTCAGGAGGGTGTAAGTGCAAATTACCCAATATATTAATACTATAATATAAATACATTACTGTCTTTTCATATTTAAAATCACAATCACTTCAAAGCGGCTAGCTAACCTATCTATGTGTAATGCCATCCTACCTAGCTATTGTGTGATTTGTCCAAATTTTAAAAAAATTAGTATAATTTACCATTTTGTGTATTACTAACCCCCAAATGAAATGAAAATAAATTTTGTTGTATTATTATTTTATTTTATTGGTATATTCAAACACATTTATTTCTTTAATTTCTTAATTTGTCTATATTATCTCGAGATAATTAGTGTTATGCTAAAAGTTATTGTACTAGTCAGTATGGAAATAAAATAATACAGTAACCAAGAGTTAGGTAAGAGTGATAATATTGACAAATTTAAAAATTTAATATTGACAAATTTAAAAATTTAAAGAAATGTTGTAAAGTTGTCACTTGCAAGTGTAAAAGTCGAAAGTGCAAATAATGAAAGTGAAGAGGGCAACAATTAAATATCGGTACAGGTGACACGGAGAATGCCGACATCTACCTCGTCAACGACAAAGGGCCCACCCAAGCAACAAACGCGGTCGCTTAACTAAAGCGGCTCCGCCGTCGGTGCCGCCCGCAATAAAATAATCAGACAGTTTCCCACGAACCCAGTCTCTCACAATCACCTCCTTCAACTTGCTGACCGTCCGATCTGATCCTAGTGATTCGTGCGTCACAGACAACAGATTATACACGCGTCACAAATTGGTCTCTACCATGACTCTCTGGCTGCATTACAATCACGTCTACCACCGCTATCATAAGCAGTGAAACCATCTAACGTACGCCTAGTGTTTTCATTTGCATGGCCTAGCTAGCCAGCCTGACCCACACGGAACCAAAATACAAGCTCAATCTTACCAGTAACACTTCCCAAAGTTGTATACAGTATGTATTCAACGACATGATTTATTAAAAAAAAAAATGAGAGTTTCTCTAGCTCAACTGTATAATTAACAATGTTTTGATCATAACAAAAACAAAAAATTGAGAGAGAAAATTAAATTTAACCAAAATTTGACAAACTCTTCATTCCTATATATATATATATAATATCAGCACATCCATACATTGTCAGGCTGCAATTATCCCTATTAATGTTTTTGTTAATTTAGGACGACGATCGTCGAAGCAGAGATCCGAGTCGCCGGTGGTGGTGATGATCCGGCGAAATTAGACAACTTCCGGTGAAGGAGGGAGGTTGAGATCGAAATCGGGTACTTTTCTAGAGGAGGTATGCTTCTTAGAGAAATTGAAATCAACGACGGAGGAGGAGTCAGAGTCGCTCTGTATCCCATCGTTGATCTTGTGCCATAAGTCGGTCGTCGGACGGTTGATTCTGAACATGTTGAGATGATTATTCAGAGTCTCAGGACGCGAAAGGCCGTTGAAAAGGAATAGAGGTCGCGCCGCCGGTATAAATCCGGCGAAATGGCAGCTACCCCTGAGATGCGCCAAACTGAGGTCAAGCGACGGTGGAGGAACAGGAGCGGCGGCGATCGGCCGCGCAAAGCCCGATGACTCAACGGTGCTGCTCTGGCTGGTGCTCCGCGCGTTGCTATTGACGGCGACGGCGGCGACGGCCGTTGTTTTGTTGTCAGCGGAGGAGGCGATGAATTCGGAAGGGCTGGGGAAGTTGGTCTTGGCCTTGGCGCCTCGGAAATCTCGGGCTGCGGCGTCGTAAGCACGCGCCGCTTCTTCGGCGGTATCAAAGGTGCCTAGCCAGACGCGGGTTTTTTTGCCGGGATCTCTGATTTCGGCTGCGTAACGACCCCAAGGCCTCTTCCTGACGCCTCTGTAACGCAATTCCATGCCATTAAATCTGTCTTCGCCGCCATTAACGGCGGTGTTCGGTTTCTCCCTTGGCGCCATTTATTTTACTACTACGTGGTGTCTTATCGAAAGAGAGAGACTATGAGGAAAGCAAAGGGGTGTCGAGTGAGTTTTATAGGGGGTGTCGAGTGAGGAGCCACGCGCCATGAAGGAGCGTGTATATAATTAAAGTGGGTTATAGGTTGTTATGTGGGAAATAGATCGGGTTAAATTCAAGGAAGTTTTAGAATCCACTCAAAACAATCCACGTCACTAGAAAAAGGAAGAATTGTAGGAGTTGTATTGACTCGATAGTTTGGGAATTGAAAACGCTGCAATGAGACCGAATTCAAGTAATTATCTATTAGCTCTTACCCTACTTTCTATTAATTAATGAATATTCATATTTCCTTGATCAAAATTTCGTTTAGAAAGGAAAAAATGGTTGCTATTGTCAGTCACGCAAAATCTCACTTATTGAATTTTCAAATTTCGTTGTACAAAATTCAAAGGTTAAACTTACACAATCTCTTAATAAAGATTCATGACGTGTATTTTCAGGAAAAAAATATATATATATTCCTTTTGATTAATCAATTTTTTTTCTTTTGTTTTCTTTTTAATAACAAGATATATATACACATTTTTTGAAAGGTTAAATTTTTTTTTTTTTTTTTTCCCACCAACAAACAGACAATATTAATTGTTGTAGTAGTGATTTATATTAGTAAAAGATATGAATATTGGCTACTTAAAGGAGTGGGAGTGAGGCTGGGCGTTGAGAGGGCTTGGCTGTGTGTTTGTGTGCGGCGCGCGCCATTTGTTCCCGAAAAGGGGGGAGGATGACGGACGGCTAGTCTGATTGTTTGTGTGCGGCTGACGGTGAAAGGTGTCGGCATATTCCTCCGCATGAGACGGATCGTTACGATGATATCCATTTGAACCGTTCTCACCCCATTGGACCTCACAATGGTTACTAACGTAACTATACCATGATGTTGACACGTGTTCCGACAGGGATAACATAGGCCATATATATCCTAGTCTCGTCCATCTGGCAAAGACAAATAAAAAAATAAAAATGACAGGCATTAATTCTCAATCACTGCCGCATTTGACTTGGTTTAGCTTCCGGATTTTATTGTTATTACATAGTATTATTTTTACACTACTACTGTACAATAACAGTTGAAATTGTAACATTTGAGTACTTGGGAGGATTCACCCTTTTTACAAATTAATATTAGGTCTCTCAAATTTGTTCATCTCAAGACCCTTGATTGTTTTGTTTTGTGCTTTGGGTGATTCTAATCATAAAATAAAACAAAAATTTCCATTTCTTTTTTCTGAATAGACCTTTTTCTTTTTTCTTTTTCCTTTTCAAAATCAAACAGGAGGAGGTTAATACTGTCATAACCATCAAAACGAGGGCAATAATTAGAACAATTAGGTATGAGGTCCAGGCAATGGCTGTTTAACTAGAAGTGATGACCATATAAAATTCTACGCCTAAGATGAAAGACCCTTTGAATATGGTCAAAATAAGGACCAAGAATACAAGGGGTGAATCAAAATGAAAGAGCTATATTGCAAGAAAATATACAGCAGTTGTAACAGATACAATAGAGGTGGTCCTAGATAAGTAAAACTAAAACAAAAGTACATAACCTTTTTGCACGATCTGGTAGCAAATTCTACTAAGCACTGATCACAGGAGGACCAGGGGTATACCAGCCATGGTGGATTTCAACCGCCTTCTTTCTTCTCGCAAGCCTGGACTTCCTCCGTGCTCCGGTGTTCCTGTGAAGGGTTCCCACTTTCACTGCTTTGTCAATCACTGAGTAGGCCTCCGCAATCAGTTGCTCAATGGTAAGGACTTCCTCAGGTTGCGCATCAGGTTTCTTTCGGAGCACATCAAGTGCTTCCAGCACCTGAAGAAAAATAAATAAATATACAAGAAAGAAGGTAACAATAATTCCCAAAAGACCATGAGGTGTTTCATTTGATATTCTATTTACATATCAATTTTTTTTTTTTTTTTTTTTAATGGTTAGTACAGTGACTTCACCCTTCTTGCTCAACCTTCGGCTTTTCTTGCTCAATAACTACTAATATTATTGTTGTAACCAGAAGGAACAAAGGATGATATAGAGATGGAAATCAAAAGTATTACGATTCTCATGGAAATATAGGGGTGGAAAAAGTTCAATCGCAATTGACCAAGAAATGAAGCATCTAAAAGGTTCCCTGAAAAACAGAAAGGAAAAAAAAAAAAAATTTAACTGCTCATGCTGGTGGCTCAGGCCTCTGATACAGAAATACTGTTTACATTCCAGTCGATTGATTATGCTAGATTTACCACCAAAGACTCAGCTCAAATGGAAGGTTGAGAGTTCGTGTCCCCAATGGGATGATAATGGGTGTGTGTGTGTGATTCAACTACCAAAAAAATAAATAAAAGAAAAAGAAAGATATTATGTCCAGATTTCTGATCAACTCCATCCATAACTTGTGAGTACCCATTTTAAGCCATCAACTCATTCTGACTCATTTCAGCTAAAAATTTAGTAACCAGCTTCTTCATATAACTCCAAATCACCTCAACTGGTTATATATTGTTTTGTTACCCTTGATGCTATTGCCAGGGCTTCACAGATTCTTACAACTTCTGGTAATCTGGTTTTTGGCCAATCCATAATAAGGTTAAACATGCCTCCTCCATAGATATACCACCAGCAATTCTGTTGCATAAACCATAGTGGTTATCAATTGGAATATAATTTTCCTCCTGTTTTGATTTTAAGGCATTGACCACCAAGCCCCAACAAGTTCGTCTCCATTTTACCCACCTATATGAATAAAATAATTGAGAGACCAAAATCAGTCATTGACGTCTTTCCTAGCAATAAGCACTCATTTCCATTCCCCTCTTTTCTCGGTCCAACCAAAGCTGGATCCCAGCAGTCAACCTTGGTTCCAATGAATCTAAAAATTTATTCCAAATGATCCCTCCATAATGTAGTTTTGCAATTACTTCATCTCAGAAGTATCAATGAGCATCAGATTTTATTCAATTCATATATGAAGTGCCAAATATTCCCAAAGAAAAGATGTCAAGTCAGTTCTCCTACAATCTATGCTAGAAAACATAGACATAATAAGAGGACGTTGATGCAAAGTACTTGCAATTGAAAAATCTATTATCTTGCCACCATTTATTCTCACGCTAATTCATATGACAAATACATCTAAAATATACCAATAAAAGTGAACTTCAATGTCGGTCCCATAGAGCATAAATTGATCAAGGGGATTTCCACTAAAGAATATATCACAGAAAGTAGATCAGGAAGACAGTTTTATGAGCAATTCTACATCCTTGGTTACCTGTAAGTTTTCATCACCTGGAATTCCATTTAAATTAATACATCATATATTAGTGGTGTAATTGACAAAATAATCTTTTCAGATTAATTCAGAAATCTTCAAAACCTAACACAAAAAGTGCAAAACAGAAGTTCAATTAATATAGCCTCCAATTCTCCAAAAACATTCTGTTCTTCATGATTTCATATATAGAAATCACCAATCACTATAATAGTAAATAGTAGTTGTAGATAAAGGGTTTTTCGCTAAAGAAAGATGATAAGATACAGGTAGAATGAATAATGAAAAAGTGTTTCACAGGCGCTATAAAATAAAAGGAGCCAAACTCAGCATTACACCATGAATGAAGAAGAGAACTGAAAGAAGTAAATTGGCCAGCAATATTCCAGTCAAACATGATTAAAACCAATTAAAATAATAATAATAATAGAGCACTTGAAAGAGGATTAGATTATTCGAGTAATAATTCAAAAGTTTAGCAAAAACTTAGCTAGAATCCAAACTCAAAACCCTAGTTCCTAGACTTAAATAAATATTAAGACAATTTCAGAGAGGAATTGAAAGTGATTCGACTGGAAAAGACATAGAAGATACAAGTTCAGAGCTTAAATTGAGTTTTTGAAACAGAGCAAGTTGCGGAAGATTTCAAGTGCAGGTAAGGTTTTGGACTAGATTCTATTCAATTCTTGAGTACTTTAAGGTAACTTATCATGAGTAATTAATCTTATAACTGAATATCACAAATTAAGGACCTAATGCTATAGAATAAGATTTGAAGAATTAAGAATAATAGCATACAATTTGTGCAGAATAAAAAGTATAGCGGAGTATTGAGAGGGAAACCAATGGTCAGACTGAGAATCACAACCAAAGTTTGCCAAAGAGTCCGTGTCTTAGTTGTTCTCTCTAAATGTCTAGACGATTTTAAAATGGCCAACCACAGCAATTGGTAATCAATCCTCACCTCACTAGCTGGTGCTTTTCCCTCCCTTTCACGAGCCTGGTTAGCAAAGTACAATACTCATTGACAACCAGCTCAGCCTCAATCTACGGGCATTCATCTCCATAGCTCCTTTTCTTTAGCAGTTCAGGCTGGCTGGCCGTGGTCAAGTTCCTCCTTTATTGAGAATCTTGACAGCTTTCCCTTGCTATAAATATAATTCTCTATAGCTGTAAAAGTTCATTTTTAGTTTATTTGTGGGCAGACTCAATTGCCTGACAAAAGGTTTCCTGATAGTTTGTTTTCACTTTCCAAGTTTCGCGACTAATAGAAACAAAAGGTAAGATCTATGTACGCTTGTTCTGTTTGAGATGTGTGAGAATTATGTACACCTATTAATTAAGCCTGATCAAAGACCAGCCACCCTACCACAGTCTACAGTACAGCACACAACACAAAACACATCAAATAAACTGCCATTGTCATGATCAGAAGCAAACACAATCTCTATACTACTACCTCTAAGCTGAAATACCCATATGAAATTCAACAATGGTCAATTAAAGTATACCCAATTTGCATACATGAATCAGTTGATCATATTTTCTTATTTAGCGAAAAAAAAAAAAAAAAATGGATTCGATGAAATCAAAAAAGATAACCATGTAACCCAAAAAAAAAAAAAAAAAAAGAAGTCAAATTGTTGGAATGGGTTACCTTCTTCATCCGAGTTTTGATCTCAGATTTCCTTGCTTTGTTGTAGACGCGCCTCTTTTCCGCTTGGCGAGCTCTTTTTGCAGCCGAATCTGGCTTCTTATTTGGAGTCGCGTCGCAAACAATGGAGCGTCGAATCGGAACCTCCATGGGATTCGTTGAAAAAAATCCTAAAAAATATTGATGAAAATGTTGGCACTCAAGAACAAGGGTTTTGTTCGAGATTGAAAAATAGATTAACTCAATTCATGAATGAAAGCAATTTCAGCAAGAAATAAATAAATGGGTTTTTGCATAGGAAAATTTCGAATACCTTTGGAGAAGACAGTGGGCGATGTGTTAGCGGAGAAGCTTAGAGACCTGAAAACTTTAGGCTGAGCAGAAGGAGAGCCATTGAGTGATAGGGCACTGAATCTGTTAGGAAGGACGCAACAAGTAGAAAGGCAATGTATAGCAGCAGCCATTTCTCTCTCTCTCACAAACTTTCTCTCTCTAAGGATCTCGTATTTTGCTGCAGAGAATAAATCGGAAGAAGAAATACGAGCGTCAAAGAAAGCTAGCTCAACTCTCCCGCTTTCTTTCCCTATCTTATCCACAGCGACAGAGAAGTTATGAATTTGGGGCTGTTTGGATACGATTCTTACAATTCTTACAAGACCGGATTGGGCTTCTCTAAACGGCCCAATAGTTAACTTTTTCCTAACCACAACCCAATAGTAATTACAAGAGTAACCAAGTTATAAACGTCAATAGCCCTATATCATCAACTCAAGGCCTATTTACAAATTATATAATTCTACTTCTGCAGCACATAACAGTTATTGTTACCTATTATACGAAGTCTATTCAGAAAAATCAGTATAGAAATCAAGCAATTTCTGCAGCACATAACAGTTATGGTTTCATTTAAATTAAATCAGTATAGAAATCAATCTACTTTCAAAATGGAACCAATCGATCAAATTAATTCAAATTGGATCATGATTTGAATCGGATTTATGTGTACCTGTACAAAAGTGTTGTGATCAAATAGTGTTTTTTTTATATTATTTTTTATTTTTGGGTAAATATGATCAAATAGTGTTTGATAACATAGGATGTGAAAAACTTTCTGAACACATTTTCAATGATGTACTCTTTATATGTAATAATATAAAGAGAGAGATTTTAGTGAGTGGGAACTACTTTAGGTGATCTTGAATTATTATAGAGAGAGAGTCGAACCAACTAACTTTAGTGTAGTATTGTATTTGTGCACAGCAAAAGCCACAATAAAAAACAAAACCCAAACGGCAATTGATTTTTTTATATTTTTTTATAAACATGACAGCAATTACCTATTCAAAATTTTTATTTTGAATTATATTTTAAAATAATTCACTCATACTTATTTTAAAATGAACTGATATAAACTGTTAATTGATGAATCATGATTCATTTTGCCACCTTATAATATAATTTAACTCATATTGCAATTTTATATTGCTAAGAAAATACTAATTTGAGACCCGACAAAAGTCAGCCACCGGTTCTCGTCGTCTCTGTCAGTGCTTTTCACTTCTCTCCAAACACTCCAACGCTAACGGCAATTTTCTCCAACAAATATGAATTATTTTCACACATATATGACATATGCATTTGAAATTACATAATGTTATATATAAACACACACAGTTACACACACTACACACATCTTCCTCCTTTTATATCTACACTGTCGTCTCTCTCTCTCTCCCTGCACCATGGAAACCTCCAACTCTTCTACGGTTGAGAAATCAGGTAAAACTATTCTCTAATTTAGTTTTAGGGTTTTCTTTTTTGAACGAGTTGTGTTGATAGTAATCGGTGGTCTGTGTTTGATATTGTTCTTTTTGATGCAATGGTTGCTACATCAGAGGTTGAGAATGGCCAAGACTTTAAAGTTCATGTTTTCTCATCATCATCAGAGGTCCAATACTCAAAATCCTATGCTTCCTCTTTATTTATTTTGTTAATTTTTAGTGTTTAATTCTTGGTAGTGTAGTAGTTAGTTCAAGTGAATTGATACTACTTTTGAATGAATGTTTCCTGAAAGCTTATTATAATATCTATGTGGGAAACAAATTGTACCAAATTTGGGGTCCTTGATTGTATAATGTGCTGGTTTGTGTACCATGTACTCTTGAAAATGCCCAATTGAAACAATTTAAGATATAAAGACTCTTGATTCATTTATAAATGTTAAAATACTTGGTATATCTTAATGTAATTGTAATACTCTCTAAGTCTAGGTGTTGTGGAACATTTTATGTTTGAAGAGCATAAGTTATATTCGTGAGAGTGAAGTTGGAGATCAAACGTGAACAAGAGGAATAAAAAGGGTGATGGTAGGATGAAATTAGCGCACAAGTATGGCACTTAAGATTTTTATTGCTAATATAAGTAATTGAAGTTATCAAATTTTCAATTAAATGTGAAAAACAAAAAGGTAAGAGATGGATCTGTATATATTTTAGACTTTTAATGGTTTTAACAGGTCCTTATATTCTCTACTTATATGTGAAACTGTGCAAGTCAACGTTTTCTTGGAAAGGATTTTTCTCAAATACTTTTTGTTTGAATTTTACTTATCAAAAAAGGAAATTTGAATTTCGTTGAAATATTGTTAGATATAGAACTTGTTTCAATCCAGGATAGGTTCATAGTGATTCAATGAATTTCAGGTGTATCTAACCAGGCTATGCTATTCGCGCTTTTAGAGAGAAAGTACTAGTAGAAATTGAAATGGATGCATACCAACTTTGACACAGCTTTGTTTACTTTATCTTTTGTTTAAAAAATTCCAACGATAGATTGCTAGTGCAATGATGAGAAAAATTATTTCAGTTAAAAGATGTGAATGTTGGTGTATGTTTTAGAACACTTTACCAATCTGCCATTTTGTCTTTGATGGTAATTGTCAATATTTTGCTCCAGATTGTATCAGTCAGCTGATCCCAATTTTGATGTTAATTTTTTTTTTTCATGGTACTTGAAAATAATTATCATCACAATCCCAACAACATTATGTGGATATATTTTTTGATATGTTTAGTCACTTATTGGTGAAAGACTGCTTTTTACTCTTGAACTACCAAATATTAAGGGTTTTTTTTTTTTTTTTAAATAAAAATTATTTTTAGTTTTCCCCAGTAAGGTCCAAATATGAAGTTATTACAACACTCCATCTTGTTTAGCCTGTTACGTAACTTTATTTAGTTTTTCTTTGTTGTTGCATCAATCAGTTGCAAGAGAAATTGCATGAAAAGTGGAATTCTGGGATAGAGCAACCATACCCTGCAATGTATTCTAGTGTTTTTGGTGGAATTATTCTTGATCCTGCAATGATGGTTATCCCAATAGATGATCATATGGTGCATCGAGGACATGGTGTGTTTGATACAGCTATTATTCTTGACGGGTGGGTAAAATATTTCTCTAACATATATATTAACATTTCTCCAACTTTACATTCAGCAGCACTCTTTTAATGTTTATGCATACAGGTCAAAATTTTGATCCGCATTAAATGGACCTACTTTACATTTGACACACAATCAGATGCTTCTGAGTTCTATCTGTTAATCTACAATCTCTAGATTTTCTGACATTCTTTCACACATGTTTATGAAACCTTGGTTCCATAGATTGGTCCTAAACCTCGGGCTTACGAAAATTAGGTTTTCTGATAGCTGTTAAATTAGTTGTTTCCTTCAGGTACCTATACGAGCTGGATGTCCACTTGGATCGTTTCCTTAGATCAGCAGCAAAAGCAAAGGTCTCTTCTCCCTTTCCTCGGTCAACTCTTCGAAGCATTCTTATTCAGCTTACAGCAGCATCACATTGCAAGAAAGGAACTCTAAGGTACTGGTTGAGCTCAGGTCCAGGAGATTTCCTACTCTCGCCTTCAGGGTGCCCGAAGTCTGCATTCTATGCTGTAGTGATCAAGGAAGACTTCTCCCAGTGCAAAGAAGGTGTTAAGGTGATAACATGCACTATCCCCATGAAGTCACCTCTATTTGCCACCTCAAAGAATGTAAACTACCTCCCAAATGTCCTTTCAAAAATGGAAGCTGAAGAGAAGGGAGCATTCGCTTCTATCTGGATTGATGATGAAGGTTATATTGCCGAGGGTCCAAATGTGAATGTGGCTTTTATAACCCATGATAAGGAACTCATTTTGCCTTCCTTCAATAAGATCCTCAGTGGATGCACTGCTTTGAGACTTCTTGAACTAGCACCCAAGTTGGTTGAGCAGGGTCGTCTGACAAGCGTGAAAATTGACAACCTTACTGTGGATGAAGCCAAAAGTGCAGCGGAAATGATGTATGTTGGAAGCACACTTCCTATATTACCAATCATCACGTGGGATGAGAAACCCATTGGAGATGGTAAGCAACTACACTCAAAATTCTGATTAAACTTCAAAATGAAAAAAAGGGTCTTTGATTTGGATTGCCCCTTAGTTCTGATACAGTGAGCAGCCATTGTTAGACAAAGCATTCAAATTACCAAAGGCCTAGTTTCCCCTTTATAGCATAGATGATAAACCGGTATCAGAAAATTTCAACAAATTGACTGTTACTGTGATTTGAGAATGTACTCATGGATGGCTTTCTTATATGGTTGTTTGTAACAGGAAAGGTAGGAGAATTGACAATGGCGCTTTCGGATCTACTTTGGGATGATATGGTAGCAGGCCCTGAAACACAAAGGCTGCCTGTTCTCTATGCATAGGAAAACAAAGTTATTCAAGTCAGATTACACCGGGAAGTAATGCATTTGGTTTTGCATTTGAATCACCTCACTGCTTATGATTGTCTTGTTTGTTGGGTATGTTAGCAAATGTCCTGTCATGCTGGTCTTATTGCTTGTTTGTAATGAAAATGGCAAAAGCAGTATTCAGTAAAAATATTGAAGCTTATCTCATCTGTGGAAATACCTACAATTGGAGCTTGTCTGATCACTCCAGAACTATGTTTGCAATTAAAAAATATCTCTCTCTCTCTCTCTAAATACTTTATTCATTGAAATTAAATTATTTTGATGGTCTTCCCAAGCATTACACTTTCTCTTAGCTGTCATTCTCTTTTTATCTCCTTTGGCTAACTAGAAGTACATGAGCTTTTGGAGCAGCGAATTAATCTCTTGGCAATTATTATTGGACCTAAGCAAACATAATCATAAAGATTCAAGAGCAGTGTTAGGCTCACCGAAAATGGTAAGCTGGAGTCACTGTCACAATGAGTAATGACCATCAAATGTATAAGTTTTCCCAATCGAGCCTTATGGCCATTTCCCAGTTCACACAAGAGGGTTGCTTAGCTAACCATTAATACAATTGAAATCCAATTCTGTCTTTTTTATATGAGTTGGGATTATGTCATTATATTCAATGATATCATGATGACATCATCTTGTATTCACATAAATATTGTCAAATGTGTTTGATTTTCAAACTCTATATTACAACTCTAATCATAATTGTCGCTGGTATCTTCTTCACATAAAAGAAATGACATTGTAACAGAAATGAATCTCTCTATATTTAAATCATGGTTCGCAATATTGGTTACGATCGCGGTATATCGGTCACAGTCGTAGTATAATGGACTCGGACAAAGTCAGTATAAATTGGTCGATACGAGTCGCATATTAGCTTTTCTAGTGAGTGAAAATGCAAATCTCCTAGGTGAGGATCACATAGTGCATCCGCTGACCATCACATTCCCCCTGCGAGCTAGTTCCACGTCAAAGGCTCAAGCTGGGATTTCTTATATAACAAATCCGCGCGACTTAAAAAAAGGGTCACGTATCGACCGATATGTCGTGTACTGAACGATACGATGAACCATGATTTAAATACAATAATGTTAAGATATTGTGGGTTTTACTAGTGAAGACTATCACTAACACTGGTGTAGGAGATTGCATTGCAATAAATGTGAATGAATACTTCCTTTGATGAAGAAGACATGGCCTATTACTGGGTTCCATGTTGTTCTAAATTAACTGAGATCCTCAGGGAGAATATTTCAAGCTAGAAAGGGCTCAAATCTCCTTTGAACATGCAGGTGTGTTGTCAATTTTTGTCACGATTTTAATTAAAATAATAATAATTCTTTCTCCTTTTTGCCCTTTTTATTTTGAATTATATTTATACCGGGAAAAAGTTTATATAGTTGAAATATCAAAAAGGGATATAATAGTAAAATTACCAAATAAAATTTCCCAATCTAACTCATTTCATTCCTACTACGAGGGAAATGCTCATCACTATAAATTTTTTGGTCATATACATACAGAGCCCAATCTACTTGACCCATGTGATGAATGTCAATGGGCTTGAGCCCACCAATCAACTCTCCAATCCCGTGAACCCCAAATATGGTAATCGAAGCCGAGAGGGAGAGATTCTAATTTGAGAGGGAATATGAAGAGTAAGACTGTGAGAGTCTGAGGGAATATGAAGAAAGAAGAGAGAGAAATCAGACTGAAGAGAGAGAAAGATATCCTTTAATCACAGTTAAAACCAGTGCTAGAGTTAGGTTTAGGGTTAGGGTTTTCAGTCATCAATGGAGTCGAGCACACGCCAAACTGTCGCTAAACCAGGGCTGAGAAAGCCAGTGTTCACCAAGGTCGATAACCTCAAACCGGAAACGAACGGTCATACACTCACCGTGAATGTTCTGGACTCGAACACTGTGTTGCAGAAGGGTCAGTCGGTGTCTCAACACCTCCGCAACACTCGCATTACCGAATGCCTCGTTGGCGACGAAACTGGCACGATTCTCTTCACTGCGCGCAATGATCAAGGTACTAATCTTTCTCTGCTATCAATTTACCTATGGTGGTTTTGATCTATTTGGAATTCTTGGAAATGATACTTTCAATGTGCTCTGTTTTCTTCTTTTTTTCTTGGGAATGCTCTGTTCTCTTTTTGGTCCAAGTTTATTACATGATTCTTTTATTTCCCCTTTAAAGAATGATATCATCTGGCATTTATATGTTGTCTGAGAGCCCTAATTTGAAACACTGAAATTGCTGGTTTAGGGTTCTTTAACGTGCCCTTAGAAATTTCATTATATTTGCTGCTTTAGTTTGTGATGTTTGCTGCTTTAATTTGTAATGTTAATGGGGTGAGCTGGGTAGCCCAGTCGGTAGAGGCACTACTCCCCTAAGTCTTGTGGGAGCCCATGTTCGACTTACCCTATCCTCTCCCCTCCCCTCCCCCTCCTTGCCAGGTAAAAAGAAAGAAAAGCAAAATATAATGTCAACGGTTGGGAGTAAGAAGCTGCAGTCCGGTATATAATTCATAAAATTAAACAGAAAGAAGATATTGGAATCAATAGATAAATGCAAGGGTTTTATGGAACTCCCATCTGATATATTTGGTTTCATGATAAGCCCGATGGTAAATATTTTTGAATGATCTAATGTTGATTGTTTAAGCTAGATTAGGGGCAGTGCAGATGGTCAGAATTGCAAATTGGTCTCTTGGTCCTCTTGCAATTAACATTCAAGATAATTATGTACTTGGTATTTATAATGGAGAAGGTGTTGAATAATTTGTTTCCTAAAGAAATGATTACGTCAACCTTGCATCTGTTGTAAAAATGGATGCTGAGGACCCAGAGCTTGATGAAAATGCCAAAATAATATATTTGTTAAAAAGTGGGGAGCACTAGTATTGTTTTCAGACAGGCTTTCATATAAGGGGGATTTGAGTGGTTTGTGCTTGTTAACTTCTGTCAAACTGTCTGAAAGTAAATTTGATCTTTCACCGTCTTGCTGCGCTTTAATTTCAACATGTTTACGTGGATAATATTCTTTGGTGCGTTATAGTGCGTGAAAGTTTTTGAATATATGGCGATCACATGAAGCTGGTACCAGAAGCTGTTGGATGAAGTACATGCACTCTGAAGTCCTTGAAGTACTTGTACAATGCGAATGACGGTTGTATTTGGAAAAAAATGAGTTATTCCTTGGTTGCAGTTTTATAGTTATCCTTCCATGATTTAGTAAACTACGTTGTAGAATTTTCCTGAAGGACAAAGAAACTGCTTGAAGGGACTTTAAGGGATTTATTATCTAATTCTGAAGGTTCAATGGAAAAAATGACCTCATTTTATACTTGCACTTAAGTTTGGCCCAGAGCTATAGAAGGACAAGAGAAGGGCCTTGAAGGATGGTCCTTCCATAGAATGAATAAACTAGTTTAGGAATTTTTTGGAAGGACAAAAGAAATTTATGAAAGGACTTCAACGGAGATGTTGTATAATTATGAAGTTTAAAAAAACTGTACCTCATCTACTACTTAAGTTTAGTCTAAAGCTATAGAAGGACAAGGGAAGGGCTTAAGGGATGTAATGGTGTTACTGTGAGCTTGATCTTTTATTTTAACTGTTCTATTGAATGCACGACTTGTCGAGTTTATATTAATCAACTTAATGACAACAAGTTTATTGAAATAAAGTGACTTAATTTTTAGTTTCTATATAATGTTCATTTTGGAATCACGAAATAAATCTCAAAATTTTGTATAAACACAAATTAATGATAAGTTTGTTGGCACTGATGATAACATCATCATAACTCCTTGTCTTGACATTTATGGTGATGCAGCAAGTACCTGACTGGCGAAATTTGTAGTTGGATCGCGGACTTAATTATCCAGACTCATTTCTTTCATAAATCTAAGCTATAGTTGGCTTCCCTTTGATGTTTATTTCTACATTTCAGTCTTCTTTGTTAGAACTTTCTAAATGGTTAGTACTTGGTGTTCAATCGGATTACCTCATTGCATTTTCAAGGAATTGTGGAAAGCACTAGAAACTGTTGGAGTTGATAATATTTTTTTTTTTTTTTTTTGAAATATTTTGATATGTGTTTTAGTCAGCTTCTTCCTCTTCTTCTTCTTTTTATTGTTATCATTATTGCTTTTATTTCTCTCTGCCCAGTTGATTTGATGAAGCCAGGTGCAACTGTTATCCTCCGAAATGCAAAGATTGTAATGTTTAAGGGATATATGAGGCTAGCAGTTGACAAATGGGGTCGTATTGAGGTCACTGAACCTGTCACATTTTTGGTTAAAGAGGACAAGAATCTCTCTATGGTGGAGTACGAGTTGGTGAATGTGGCGGCAGAGTGAATCGGATCTTTGCAGCCTATAAATAGAGATATAGAAAAGCTCAGAAATCTAAATGATGCAAAACTTGGTTTCACTCTAATTTCTATTGCCATCTGCTACTGTTCATATTTCCTTCTTTTATCAGATAGATTAGATGGTTTAAAGTTTGTGCACAATTGTACTGAAATCGGCTTTTGTGATGATACTTCTTCTAGTATGACAACCATGGAGTAAGATTTGTCTAGTATTAGCAGGGAAACCTGTTGTTGGTGGATATGGAATGGAAGTGTAAAAAGAAAGATTCTTGTGCTAATGATAGGGATACTTTTGCTTCAACTCTTTGCTGTCTCTGGGCACTTCTTTGCACATTGTCGCAGCATTCTTATGACATTTGGGTTAATTCCAAATTTTCTATTAATTTAAACAGGAGATCATATATATATTATTAAAAAGGCAAAAGAATTTGGTTGTGATCCTTTAGAATTTAGACAATGAATCCTTTGTTATAAAATCACAGCTCCTGTGGAGAAACAGTCTTGGTGATGTATGTATGCAGAATCGAATGGGTATGTTTCTCAAGGGAGATATTCAATGTGAGACTTTTTCTACGAAGTGGCAGAATTGAATGCGACATTTCTCAGTCCCCAACTGCAAAATATGAAAGAGATAATTTCATAATTTTATAGTTTTGTGTTCATCATTTTTATTTATTTTTTAGCTGTTTGGTGTGTAGAAGGTTGGTAATGGTCTCGAATAGTAATTATTGGGTGTAAAAAAATACAAATAGCTTATCTTACAAAAGAGTTGTGATGCTGAGGCAGAAATATTAAATGGATTTGTTAAGCAGAATTTACATAGTATTAGGTAGAATGTACATGGCACAAAAAGATAAATTAATATGGCAATTAAATAGTTCCACTGGTATGTCCATTAAAACAATATAAATTTTTAAAGACAAAATTACTTTTCTATTACCTTCTGGTTTTCATCCTCCTTTTTTTAGGGTTACTTAAAAAACAACTATAATTAAAAATTCTTTAAATTCCTTTTATAAATTTTATCAAAACACACACACACACACACTCTCTCTCTCTCTCTCTCTCTCTACATAGATGTAAAATAATATATAAATTTTAAAAAAGAAATCATCAGAGATATATATATATATATATATATATATATATATATATATATATATATATAAGCATACTGCAATTCAATTCCCGAAATTTAAATTTCACAAAACATAAAAAATAATAATAATAATAATAAATAACAAGTTTTTAAAATTTTTGTCATAACTCCAAAAAAAGAAAAAAGAAAAGTGGTGCGTGTATGTATGCATAGTTGTTGGGTATGATCAACATTTTATTGCATGAAACCAACAAGAATGACTCGTTGATCGAGTGACAGATTTAGAGAACCGAGTTCATCAACTTGAAGAGGATAGAGAGAGAATGCCACCATGGAAGAGAAACCAGTAGTCTCTCTGGGCGACCTGATGGTGACGACAACAGTGGTGACACCGGAGATAACGGGAAGAAAACCCTCCTCATCAAGTATTGTAAAGTGATATATTTGTGTATCCTGGTTATGATCGGGAATCAATGATGGCAATGGAGAAAAGGGTGAGAGAAAAATAAAGAATGGTTTGACTATGAGATAGAGATGGATGGTGAGAGATATTACTATTAATTGAAACTCTTCGCTAATTAGAATTCTGTAAGGATATTTTTATCATTAAAATTTTATCTTTTTAAATGTAATACATCCATACGGTGACCATCTACTAGAATTTCGTGCCTGTGCCTGAATATTTGAGTCACAACACACCTTATCACGATAATGTGAAGCGGATTTATAGGGTTTTAAAAAATGTGAAAGTTGATGTTGTTAATTGATTAAAAGATTTGACTATTATATCACACAACTTATAAACTTCTGGAAGACTAACATGAAACAAAGAAAATAACCTGCAGTCCCGCTTGACCCGCCAGCTATAAATAAATATAGCCGTCCACGTTACTACTGGTATTTGGGCAGTCCGAATACGACTATATAACCATATAATAAATCTAATATGTCAATGGGTGCTACAATAGAGTAGTAATATAATGATATATATTTATATATACATACTTTTCACACCCCCAACAACACACATACGCATGTACAAAGTCATACACGTTTAGAAACTCTAAAAACGTCATTAGTCAGACCAGACACCAGAGACGAGGCTTCTGTGTGTGACCAAGCAAGTTCAAGTATGGTGGCTCATGGCTGTACTATTTTAAATGACGAAAGTACCCATCGCCTTCTATTAAACACATGGAAGTTCTGGGTAAAATTTAGTAATTTTCTCGAGGATAGTGTTGTCAAGCTATATATTATGGTACCAAAGTCCTATTCCGCGTAAAATTGGCTCCTACATTACAATCTCCATTAATAAAAATCTCTGTGTCTCTGTCTCTCTGAAATCAAGAAATAAGTTTGACAAGTAAAGAGAAGAATGGGAGATAATGAATCAGGAGGTTGCAAGCCAATTGGTTTCCTGATAGGGCTACCCTTTGCTTTTCTTGCTCTCATTTTATCTGTTGTTGGTGCTGTTGTTTGGATCCTCGGGTCAGTTTTTCCATCTTAATTCCATTTTTTTCATTTTCATTTCCCTAAATTTCTTCAATTCACATGTTTTTGAATCTCAATCAAATCATATATATATATATATATATATCATCACATATACTATTCAACTCATGTTAGTTTTGGTTTTCTTCTCCTACTAACATTACTGTACTATGAATCCCAATCAATCTTCTTTTATGCAGTTTTTCTTTCTTCATAGTTGGAGAGAAGTAAAAAAAAATATATATATATATATATAGAAAATGAACATATATAACAGCTCTCTTTCTATTATTATTGATTTTGCACTAAATTATCATAAAATAATTAAATGATTGCATTTTTTTTCTAAATGACAGGACTGTGCTGAGTTGTTTGTGCCCTTGCTGCTTTTGTTGCGGCGGACTTGCAAAATTGGCAGTGAGCATTATAAAGCTTCCAATTAAAATCATCAGATGGTTCATTGACAAGTTTCCTTGCTGATTTTCAGTGCTACTCTGTATGAATTCATATCTAAATGCCTTTGCACAGGCGCGCACGCGCGCACACACACACATATAGATATATATATGCAACATCCATTCATTATTATTTTAGTCAGTATGTAATTGCAAGTGTTATGGTTATTCATTTTTCCAAAATTCTTGTGATTTTCTTGTTGAATTACTAGCAAAGGCTTCATGCTTTTTGAGCTTTATGATGTATTCCCTTTTCTTTTCAATGTATCTTTGGAATTTAATTTAAAATATTGGGATATCTTAATTAACTTTTTATTCTTGTTTCTTGGAGATGATTAAAGTTTAAAAGTCGGGAATATTATTGAAAGGCTGTTTGTGTAGCTAAATATTGGTTCTTCTTGGAATAACACAAGGTGCTAGCAAACAAGCCCTAGCCATTGCTTTTGAAGAAGGGGAAAAAAGAATTAGGGTAATGCAGAGCTTTATACACCTTAATCATTTCCCAAATTGTTTATTGTCTAATTGCATAGACAATTATGTTATGGATTTATAATCACATTTTAATTATTTTTTGCATTTTACTCGACTGTCTTATTTGCAAGGAATAAAGGCAATGATGATGAAAATGATGATTTTATTTATGGGACACTCTATGTTATATAGAGACTCGTAAACTAGATGAATCTTAGCGATGAACTTCCTAAGTCATAATTCATTCGTTGATTGTAAGTGGCATCGCCAATACATTGCATAACTCGTCAAAGTTTTTCCTTATGGAGCTATAATTTTCATTAGAGACTACAATCTAGAACATGCATTTCATGTCTTTTCAGTTCCAACTTCCGAACCTCCAAGAGACGATCTCTAACGTTGGTCATTGTATTTCTTGGACAACCTTGTACTGAGATTCCATTAACTCAACAGTTGTCAAAATTTGCAGAAAACCTCTTTTTGCAATACTTTGCATCCAAACTACTCCTGTTTCCTGTAAAACTTTCATCAGAAGCATATGTATCATATATTAATGAAGAGACATACATGTATCCAACAGAGTAAAATATGAAAATCTATTTACAAGTCCTTGATCTTGGTGGGAGAGGGTCTTCTACTCTGTTTTTCTACACAATTTAGCGAAACTAAGATGCACCAAGCTCAATAGACTTTAAAACGATCACAATTGATCCAGTCTTCTTCTCTATACCTTCAAGCTTTTATAATAACTATGGCAATCCGCATATATATATATATATAAATCATTACATGTCCTCCCTGTTCGGCCTCATTATTGGGCCCAAGTATCGGTTAAGATGATTTTCTGTCTGGATTGACAAAATGTATGTGTGTGTGAGAGAGTGAGAGATCTTTGATTGGCTTGTTGAGACACTTCTGGGAAAGCAATTCTCTAACATTAATGAAGGTAACAGAAATTGCTCTTTATATTCAGAAAGTTACCCACAGTAAACGCTGGGTAAGCAAGTGCGGAATGGATAACTGCTGAAAGCATCTAAGTAGTAAGCCCACCCCAAGATGAGTGCTCTCCTATTCTGACTTCCCCAGAGCCTCCGGTAGCACAGCCGGGACAACGACGGGTTCTCTGCCCATGCGGGGATGGAGCGACAGAAGTTTTGAGAATTCGAGAGAAGGTCACGAGGCAAGACGAGCCATTTATCATTACGATAGGTGTCAAGTGGAAGTACAGTGACGTATGCAATTGAGGCATCCTCTTTCCATCCTCTAACTTCTGCACATTTGCCCTAACACCTCTCTCATCACTCTCAAACTTGGGCTGACATTAAGTGGGCCCTATATTTGGGCCATAGTAGATATCAGTCCGCCCTGTAATGATGAAAAGACCGGGCCTGGGAATGGCGGATTTGATCTTTGGGCTGGTGGGTCGTCCTTGAAATGGAATGCTCTGGGCTGAGTGGACAGGCCATAACGAAGCCCGGTCCACTTTCTGCTCCATCAATTAACGACGGTGTCAACTTCATTGCCACATTTGCAAAGGGTGTTGTGTACAAATATGTCTCATTAAAATAAATTAGTTCATCTTGTAGCTTTCAAATTAAATGCATACATATCAAAGAAAGATACATCCCTCTTTGCTAATATGGTTTTGGTTCTATTTTCATCTGAATTCGATATGAATTCTGTCAATTCATGACATTATAATTTTATATTATGCATTCAAACAATACCACCAATTAGCTTATGTGCCCTCCTTATCCAAAAAGAGGGACATTTGTAGATTATACCACACTTCAATTTGCTTCCATAAACTTCCATTGTGTGGAGGTGGGGTGCAAAGGACCTACTGTGGCATTTTTATGTGCATGTGCAGTGTCGCACCAACTCTTTTATTTAATTCTATGTCTTTGGTAAGCTACAAATAAATGTGGTCATATAAATCAATCAATCTGTGACACCATATACAAGTTCTTCGATCTCCTGATAACGGGGTTTATTAGTATTTATGCATTTTTAGCGATGGTTAGTGGGGTTAGGGAGGTAGAGGTTAAAGGAGAAATGAAAATGATGCTAGTGTGTTTTGCATAAAGCCCCAAATAATACACGCCCTACGGCTGGGCTGGCACTACACCGCACCGGCCTAATAACACATTGGAACTTCATTCCTTCACAACTTATTTATGACAATGTTGACATTTTTTTATTTTTTATTTTTCTTTTTTAGATGGATTTTGCCATGTTTCAAACTGAAGTGATTACTAAAGGTTGTAGGCTGTTAGTACTTTCTCGCCTTTAAAATAAAAAGTTGGAGGTTCAAGTAATCAAGTGGGTGTGTACGTGTATTTTTTGCCAAAAAAATTTAAATAATAAAAATAATAAATTGATTTAATCAGCATCAATACCATCTAAAACATGTCATACATTATCATTCTCATTCTAATTTGCATTTTTTTACTTCGCCTTGCTCTTATGTCATGTTTGGCACTACTGAATTGACACGTTGGATTTGAGATTAGAAAAAATTTAGGATAAATTTTGAACTAAATGCCTTCGAATTTCAAATCTAAGACACCAATTCGATACTTCCAAACATAACATAAACTTTTTTTATTTATCGTTTTCAAATATCGACTCCTTATAATAGAAAATAGATTGTTCTTATAGCAATTTTTGTGAGTACTCTTGGGAACATAGAAAAAGAAGGCCAGTAGCACATAAAAAATATACAAAAAAATAAAAAATAATAATAATAATAATAAATAAATAATAAAAAATCTACATGTAGTACAGAATGCTAGTTACTTTTTGGAAGCATCACTCAAAGATTCTTCAGCAACCACACATATATTTTTTTATTTTTTTATTTTTAATGAAGTGAAATCCTCGCGATTATCCACTTTTTAAATTTGTAACTACTAAATAAATTCAGTTATTATTAGATAAACTCCCAACTACCAACCTGGCCTGATAACTACACATATACTTTGTTTTATAACATCACCACCAAATCCTACTGATTAGTGTTAGGCTCGCAACTCATTATAATACATTATGGTAAGATGGGACTTCAAGTTTTTATTATTATTTTTTATTTAAATTCAATTCTTAATTATTCAAAATTGGATTTGCCTCTTTGCTCGAATCTGGTAAAGTGCCATTGTATTCTGTTGCAGTGTTATGCAAAGGGAAAACACTGTGTCACATTAGTGTTTCAACAGACACTCGTATGTCGCAACAAATAACAGTGTTCTATATAAATTAAAAGGTTAAAGAAATTGTTTGCATCCAAGAGGAGTCAAATTTTGACCTTATATGTAAAGTTTTTGACTTTTCAATTATGGGGCCCACTTGAGTTATAAGGGTCATTGCAGACCCATTTAATTCCAATTTGTTTTCTCTCTCGGCAGCTCATATCTCTCTCTCTCGCTGCTTCTGCTTTTTTTCTTTTCTTTTTTCTTTTTCAACTTCAATCTTTGATTCCATCTTCATTACTTGCCGGATTTAGGTGCCGTTTGAGGCAAAACGACGAGTGTGACGAGCTCTACGTTCTAATACCAGCAATTCCAGTTTTGCTACCTTCCTTGGAGCTCAAAAATTTAAACCCATTTCTAGGGTTTTGCCTATTTTGAGGTAGGGGCATCTTAATCCACTCTAGTCTTGTTCTATTGTGAATTTTACCTCCATGTTGTATTAAATATGCTTAATTTAGAGTTAATTATATCTATGATGGTATTAATGATGTCTAGAGGGTTTTCACGATCTTGAATATGGTTGGTTCATGTGCAAATTATATTTAGTTGTTGATTTCCTATGTTTACTATGTGCTAGCATGCTGAAATTGATGTATGAGAGTATGCTTATTTAAATTGCGCCAAATTTCCCAATTCATGATGTTAAGCTCATATATATATATATACATGCACATGCTTAAATGTATTTTGTTGTATCTTAATGTGTTAATAATTACTTGGGAGATGTTGAACATGTTGAATGTTTAATTTTATGATGGAAAATTTTAAATGCCATGACATTGAATGTATGGAACATATATGCATGCACATACCATTGGGTTTGCATGAAATGGGAGAAATTGTTCTTGAAATAAATATGGGGAATTTCAGGGAAGTGTTTTTGATAAAATGGTTTTTGCGAAACCCGGTCGCTGCGGGGTTACCAACGGGCCGGAGGTTAATATAGCTTAGAGGGGACTAGGGAGTCGCCCTAGCGTGGTTGAGCTAGCTGGGCCCCATAATGACGCCGCGGGGTTACCAAGGGTCAGGGACACTAGCCAATCCTCCTTTCGTGTCGCGGCAGCGTTACCAAAGGGCGGGCTGTATTAACGTTTGAAAGTGATGATTTTGAGAATGAAAATGGGGAGTGTCATTGACATGCATTGCATTTCATTTCATTGCATTGCATTGTTTATACTTGGAATTGACTTGTATGTTGTATTTGATCCCCTACGTTGTATGATCCCTATCTCTCATTGGCCTATGCTTTGCTTGAATTCACAAGGACACAAGATTTGTGTCTTAAGTGTCACCTACTGAGCATATAGCTCACCCTACTATTTATACATTTTTTTTCAGGTCTTGGAAAAGAACCGGTGAACGACAACCCACCTCAAGCTTGAGCGATACTAGAAGCTCAGTTTTGTGTCTTTTGTATATTTCCCATTATTTTTGCAAAGCACTAAAAGTATAAAGGTATATATGTATATTTTGCAAAACTTTGTCATGTAACCTTGTTGACGAATGGGAAGGATAATTTTCGTTAAAGTAATTATTGGTGTTATTTGATTGTGTATGATCATATACTGT